GCATTATTTAGTTTTTTTAGTTTTTTTTTTAGTTTTTATTTTGCAGTTTTATTTTTTGATCACATAGCATTTTTTCAGGTCTCAGTATTTCCCAAAGCTCCTCAAAAGATCTTAGGTCCTATGCACTGTGCTTCTTGTGCCTAACAATGAAGCAGCCTTGGTGAGAAGATGAGGTGTTCAGTCTAGAACAAGGACTACATGCCCCGTGAAAGATCTACTAAGTATAATGACTCTAGAAGTCAGGAGAATGTGAAGCAGTGTTCGTCTGCAAGTTTTTCTGGCTTAGGCCTGTGTAGAGCTCTTCAAAGTGTAGACCAAGGATCAACAGCATGAGCATCCCCTTAGCTTGTTAGAAATGGCAGCAGCTCAGGCCTACCGAGTCATAATCTTTTTAACTAGATCACCAGGTACCCACTGTTTGAGAAGCACTGCTTTGTCTAGAGCAGTCGTTCTCAGCTCTGAGTGCACAGGGGAATCACCTTAACACTCCTGATGTCCAGGTTGCACCCCAGTCCAGTCATGAGGATCTCCAGGGGTGTGATCCAGGTATCTATCTATTTTAAGGGCTCCTGGGTGATTACAGGGAGCAGCCAGGTTAAGACTCACTGGTTGACAAGAAGGCCACAGAGGCTCCACATTGTTTACCAGTGAGTACAGTTCAGGAAGCTGTGAATTTTGTTTGTGTGTTTAGGACTCAGCATATAACTAACAAATGGGTCATCTTTGCTGTGAAATAACCTCTTACTTAGAAGGTTGGATTTGTTGGCTGCTTTCCAGGATATTAGGCCCAATAGTCTAAATCCCAGATATGTCAAGTTTACTAGCACTGGATGCTGTTCTTTTGTTTTGTTTTCTTTTGTTTTAATTTATTTGTGAGGAGGGGGGAGGAGAGAGCATGAGTGGGGTGAGGGGCGGAGGGAGAAGCAAGCTCTCCGCTGAGTAGGGAGCCCATGACTCCAGGATCATGACCTGAGCCAAAGGTAGATGCTTAACCGACTGAGCCACCCAGGTGCCCCATGGCCGCTCTTGTTTCTGAACAATTCATGCTACAGTTATGGGCCAGAAGGTGGTTTTTTTATGTAAAACTCAGGTATGGTGGGACTGAGTATATTTCTCCATTGAATACCAAAGCAGAACGTTCGTGCTTAGAACCACATGTGAAGGATGAACTGCTTCTTTGCTTGATAGCATTTCATATTCTGATAATTAAGTTTTAGTTTCCTAATGTAAGTTTTAGATAAACCACTTTGGGAATTTTAATGATTTCTTCAGTTACCGTCATTGATTTTGGTAGTCACTATGGAAAATTGCCACTTTATACTGTAATTCGCAGGTGATTTATCTCTTTAATAGGAAATTCACTGATGATTTCTGCTGTTGAGGGGGCTGGAGACACCACAGGACACAGGACTTTTTTTTTTTTTTCATTATACTTTTGTTTTAATGGGTCTCAAAATTCTGTGGCAGATTTTTGGTCAAGTTGTTTCCATTAAAAAGTACTGATTTTAAAAACTAATACTTAAAACTGCCACACACGCACAAAAAAAAACAAATGGTCCACAAAACATTCTCCTTTCCTTCTGAAGGTTTTACGATGCATTGTTATCATTAACCAGTCTTTTACTATTAAACTTAAATGGCCAGTGGACACTAACAGTTCTGAAACCTGCTTCCACCACTGATTAAGACTGGGGGGGGGGGGGCAGGTATTGGGGATAATATTCACTTATCCTTCTGAGCTTTCTGGGCAGACGTGGTGACTTTGCCAGCTCCAGCTGCCTCCTTGTCCACTGCTTTGATGACACCCACAGCAACCGTCTGTCTCATGTCACGAACAGCAAAATGGCCCAGAGGAGGATAGTCAGAGAAGCTCTCAACACACATAGGTTTGCCAGGAACCATATCAACAATGGCAGCATCCCCAGATTTCAAGAACTTAGGACCATCTTCCAGCTTTTTTTCAGAACGATGATCTATCTTCTTCAGCTCAGCAAACTTGCGAGCACTGTGAGCCATGTGACAATGCCCAGGTGCATATCCAGCACTGATTTGGCCAGGATGGTTCAGGCTAATCACCTGAGCTGCTTCCATGGGCGGGTCATTTTTGCTGTCATCAGCCACACTGTCACCACGAACATCTTTGACAGATACGTTCTTGACATTGAAACCCACATTGTCCCCAGGAAGAGCCTCACTCAAAGCTTCATGGTGCATTTCACCAGACTTTACTTCAGTTGTAACATTGACTGGAGCAAAGGTGACCACCATGCCAGGCTTAAGAACACCAGTCTCCACTCGACCCACTGGGACAGTACCAATACCACCAATTTTGTAGACTCCCTGGAGGACCGACACAAGGGCTTATCAGTTGGACGAGTTGGTGGCAGGATGCAATCCAGAGCCTCAAGCAGTGTGGTTCCACTGCCATTCCCGTCTTTAGGGGTGACTTTCCATCCCTTGAACCAAGGCGTGTTAGCACTTGGCTCCAGCATGTTGTCACCATTCCAACCAGAAATTGGCACAAATGCTACTGTGTCGGGGTTATAGCCAATTTTCTTAATGTAGATGCTGACTTCCTTAACGATTTCCTCATGTCTCTTCTGGCTGGAGGGTGGTTCAGTGGAATCCATTTTGTTAACACCAACAATTAGTTGTTTTACACCCAGTGTGTAAGCCAGAAGGGCATGCTCACGGGTGGTCTGCCCATCCTTGGAGATACCTGCTTCCAGTTCGCCAACACCAGCAGCAACAATCAGGACCGCACAGTCAGCCTGAGACGTGCCTATAATCATATTTTTGATAAAGTCTCTGTGTCCTGGGGCATCAATGATGGTCACATAATACTTGCTGGTCTCGAATTTCCACAGGGAGATATCAATGGTGATACCACGTTCACATTCAGCTTTCAGATTGTCCAAGACCTAGGCATACTTGAAGGAGCCTTTTCCCATCTCAGCAGGCTCCTTCTCGAATTTTTCGATAGTTCTTTTGTCAATCCCACCACATTTGTAGATCAGATGGCCAGTAGCAGTAGACGTGCCCGAATCTACGTGTCCAATGACGACGATGTTGTTGTGAGTCTTTTCCTTTCCCATTTTGGTGTAGGTTTAGCGGTGGTTTTCACGACACCTGTGTTCTGGCGGCAAACCCGTTGCAAAAAAGGGACTTTTCATTTTCATAGGCTTTGCTTATACTTAACTTTCACAGTAAGATTCATTGAGAGATATAATTGACATACATAAAACATACATGCTTGCTTATGGTAGAGTAGGTGCCCGAAAAATGGTGATTCTCCTTCCCTTTCTTTACCTTGAGCTATTCTCATTCAACCATCCAGACCCTTAGTCTCATTAATATTCTCCTATCCCAGGAGAAGGCTATAATAATGGGTTTTCCAGCAGATAACAATAATGAACCCTTATGTCCTTCAAAGACTATAAATATTCTTCTAATCAGTAAATATCCCTCTAATCCTACTGGTTTTCCTACTGGTTTTACCAGTAGGATAATGAAGGTGTGAATGACGTTGGTGGGGTATTCTGTATCATTTCATTTTATTGCGGCCACAGAACTCTACCCCTCGATTCTAAATCCTGTGGTGAACAATTGGAGTCTCATCACATCACAAACTCTCCACTGGGTGTGCATCTCAGCAAAGGCTGAGGAGGTTTTGAGTATCAACCATATATATACCATTAGTTTATATTATAGTATTTTAGGGGAATGGCCTATGTTGCCTCAGTGTAATGCTGTATGTAATATTAAATGAACCAACTGGATATGCACTGAATTCTGAATGTCAACTCATATAGCTGCAAAAAAGGAGCAGGTTTTGAACAAGTTGCATAACTCTAGAATTAACCAAGAATGCTCACCAAACCCTTATCTTTTAATCTCCCTAGCAAGCTACACATGGCTGCATATGTCCCCTTGTCAGGCTTTCCCTAATTTCTCCAGCCCTGAGATGCCCCATTCTCTGAATTGCCTTAACACCCACTGGCAGTTTCACACAGTTTAGCGCTGCGTTATAGACAATTTCACAGTCTGTGATTGTTTCTTTAGTGACTCTGTCACTAGGAGAGAGGGAGTCCGCCTTCCATAGCTCTTGCATGCCCCCTAATCCCTTAAATAGGAGAGACCAGAGAGAAGACCTTTAATAAATACTCAGTATATTCTATCATTTTATCCATTTCATCTTTGGGCTCCGTTTCTTTTTCCTTTTGTTTTTGACGTGTGGCTTTCTATGGAATATTATATTTGGATTCATCATTTTGATTTGTTCAGAAATTAATAAAAGCATTGTAAAAACATCAAGAGATTAATATATTTCTGCCTGGGTCATATGAATTTATAGATCTGGGTATGATTTTACAAAGAACCCAAATTCAGTGATTGATTTTCTTTTTCTTTCTTTTTTAAAATTTTTAATTTTTTTGTTTGTTTTTTGTTTGTTTCCCTGGTGTCCCTTTTTTCTTTTTTTTTTTCCTTTTTTCTATTTCAAATATGAATTATCTGATATTGTTCCACATTGGGAGCACCTGGCTGGCTCAGTCGGTAGAGCATGTGACTCATGATCTGGATGAGGTCATGAGTTCAAGCCCCAAGTTGGATGTAGAGATTACTTTAAAGAAAATTTTTAAAAGTTAGCACAGGATATTCATAATACTGTTTTACATGCTTCCTGAAGGTTTTCTTTCCTTTTTTTAAAAAAACTTATTGATTGATGGGGGGGGGGGGTTGCAGAGTAGAAGGGAGGGAGAAGGAGAAGGAAAGAATCCCAAGCTGACTCCACCCTGAGTGTGGAGCCTGACATGGGGCTTTATCTCACATGACCCTGAGATCATGAGCTGAAACCAAGAGTTGGAGGCTGAACTAACTGATCCACCAAAGTGCCCCCTGAAAGTTATCTTTTACCTTAATTGCTTTTATTCTTATCAAATAAATGATTCTCACTAATGCACAGTTTCCAACGTAAAATGTTCTTTTTTTTTTATCATTAGTGTTATTATTACAACAGTTCTATACCTGTCGGATGCACTTCGTAAGAACTTCTTAAATGAAAACTTTGATTATAAGGTAAGTGTCCATCTGGATAACTATCCTGCATGAGCTGAAATCTTTTACCTTATACTTAAGGAAACTTCCCAACATATTTTCTTTCTCTTAATAATAGGAAAACACATGTAGTCTCCCTACCCTAATTTAATCTTGGGCTATATTAGTTTTCATGATAAATAATATTGAAGAGCTTTCATTATATTTGTGAACAAGTTAAAACTAATCATGCTTACCAACCTAGTAGAAATCATTGCTTAAGAGGCTGTATGTAATTCCTTGTCGTTACTATAAATTTTCATTCTTTCCTGTATGGTCCTCATGTGTGGCAAAGGGAACTTGCAACATAAGTTTTTAAGACATTTTTTAAAGTAGAGTTTATGTGAAGAAAATATTCACAAAGTAAATGCTCCAGTTCCTTTATTTCTCCATCTTCACATTTTTTTTTAGAATGAATTAATGAAAAGAAACAAAATAAAAGGTTGGTAAAATTCTTTAAGGCAGAACTCGCTATACATCTATAATATAATTTGATATGCCCAAGAATTCTTGATGTACTACTTTTTAAATGGTAAACAAAGATAGGCAGTGCCTATTTTGCCTATTTTGGCTTCCCTTCTTAATGATGTTTTATGTTTTTGGCATCTTTATTATTCTTTTTAAATAACATTTTTCATATTAAACATTGAATAAATTATCCCTATTGGATAACTCGAAAATACAAAAAAAAAAAAAAACACAAATACAATAAACACCAAAGGAATTTAAAGGTTGTATAATATGTCTTTATATCATGCCATATAATAATAAATACATGTAAATTTTATAATCACAGCTCTGTTTTCTAATATTCAAGTTGTTTCTGCTATTTTATTCTTTAAATTACTCTTTCTATGTGCCTTCTTGCAAAGTAAAATTTGGCATACCTCCTTAATTATTTTTTGGATAAATATTTATAAGTGAAATTATTGAGTTAAAGATTATACCAATTGTATTTTATTTCCTACGTATATACCAACCTGAAATGATTAAAATTCATATTTTGTGAAGTATCTGTTCTTGACTTTTGTTCATTATTTTGCTTAGTCTAAGCATATTCTTTTTTGTTTGTAAGGGCTCTTTATATATAAAAGATATTAATTCTTTGCAATGGTTTGCCTTATTATTTCTAATTTTTGCTTGGTGTCAGTAAAGAAGTAGTTTCCTTCCATTATGTCATGTTTTTGGTTAAATTTATTTCTGGGAATTTTATTCTGATCTCTTTCTGATGCTGTTTTTAGTATAAGAAAACTTAGTCTCAAAAGATTTGTCTGGGTAGGGAATTTTTATACACCGTCTGAATTTAAAGCAATTAGCATATCCAGAGAAGTGTATGCCTTTTTTTAAAAAAATTCTCCATTAAAAGGAGTTCCAAAAATGAATTCTCACAGGAATAAAGTAACCCAGCTTATACCTCAGCTTCCATGGAGATACTAAGACATATTATAAGAGAAACAAAACATTTAACATATACCCAAGAGCTTAAGAAACCTGTGATGTGGCACTGAAGCAGTATATAAATAGACAGTATTTATTTGCTTTACTTCTTTGTTACAGCAAATTTCAAGCATATATAAAAGTAGAGTGAATGGTGCAATGAACCCCCACATAACCATATCCAACTTTGACTATTATCCACATAGAGCCAATCTTATTTCAACTGTACCCTCCTCCACTTACCACTTTTGAAGCAAATCCAAGATATCGTGTCACTTAATCTGTAAATATTTTTGTAACACTATAGCATTTAAATATTTTGCTCTTGTTTTAGATTTGGGATTCCTACTTTTACCTTGCGGTCATTTTTATAAACCAGTTATGTCTGCAGTTGGAGATGTTCACACCTTCCAAAAAGAAAAAGGTGTTAGAAAAGTAAGTACCAGGGTATAATTGGGTGGGAACGTGAGGCAAATCAAATGTTGTGCCTTTAAAGTGGTGTTTAGTTCAAATGATTCACAGATCAGATGTCTATAACTGGAAATGACAATAGAGAAGCAATGAGCAAGAGGACAAGAAGCATTCTTTTCTGGAAATTTTCAACTTACCCTTTTTTTTTTTTCCTCAGTCTTTCAGGAATCAATATATTATAGAAGCAAATAAATTAGAGGATAGATCTGTTTTATCAAAGGATTTATATAAGGATTTACATTAGAAGCATCAAGACATCTACATTAAACATCTTTAATTACAAACATAGTGTCCCTTAATTCAGAATGATAGGCTACATCCTAAAGAGACACAAATACTTCTTTGTTGGAGGTTTTGTATCAGATTTGCTTTTTGTTTTATTTCAGGTATGGTGATATGCGTGTCACAATGGGTTGTGAAATTTTCAGCATGTGGCAAAACCTAGGTAAGTGATGGAAAGAGAAGCCGCCTCCACTGTACAGTTTATCACTATATTCCTAAGTGAATAACTGAAGAAGGGCAATTTACCAATGACAGCATTTGAAACCAAATGTTTAAATCAATTGAGTTATCCATAGAAAGTAATCAATATTTCGGCACTGAATATGGTTATAACTAATTTTTAAAATTGATATCTGAAAACGCACCTTACTTTTGTGTGTTTCATCATTAATGAATGATAAATTTTATAATCTAGCATTGCTCCAATAACATACACATTTTTAGCAATGAGCTAACCTTTCAGAATTTGAGATTGTAACAATTCAAAGTTTCTAGAACTCTGAATTGAGTCTATGAATCATTACAGATTTAAAATTAACTTCATGAAACATTGACTTGCACAAACGTACTCTTAAAAACTTGACACCATGGACCTATACCATAAAGAGTGTAGCCAAAGGATTTTAAAGCCTCTGCCATTGCTAAAAAACTATTAAATTCAATTTTGTTAATCTGACACAGCAGATAGAGCATACTACTCCAGAAAATTGATGACCCAGACCTGGTTGACTAGAAAAGAATAATATTTGGAAAATAAATTGTTTTACAACCTCATTGGCATAGGGTTTATTTCTGGAGATTCCAACTTATTTAATTTTGTATGCTAACTATGCAAGTTTATAGTATCCATTTACTATTACTGCACTGTAAACTTCCTGTGATTCATTAAAGTGATGGGCCTATTTGAATTGAATACGTAATGATCTAAAAGTATCTTTTCTCTTGGGCTCATCCAAGCACATCTTGGAAATGGCAGGATTTGTTTTCTGTAAATGAAAATAGAACTATTATCATTTTACTTCAATTCATGTTACAGAGTGATTTTTGACCACGATCCGTATATATGTATAGCAATATTCATAGCAGTTTGAGGAAGCCTTGTTATATATAATTGAGCCTGGTGTTCAGTGCTTGCTGGTAATTTCAGGAAAAAAGTGAGCATCTTGAAAGCAACCTCCAACTCTGTCTAAGGCCAGCCAGAAGAAGTCCATGATGTATCTTTAGATTCAGCTCTAAAATAGCATCAGTTTGTCTTATTTAAAGAGTATTCCTTTCAGTCTTTATGTTCTGTTAATTCTTTGTGTTGTTTTTCAAAGCCCTGTTGTGTCCATATTGCATTTGGCATTAATTTAACAAGATGTTTTCCGAAGAATTCTGCATTGGAATGCCATTGTGGTTGATTAAACTCTTCTCAGAACTCAAATGACAAATGTTAGAAGACATGGAGGGTTTCCTTTCCTAGATGAACATTGGCTTTGCCTCGTATAATTATTTCCACATAAATCTTTATTCAAGCCAGGATAGCTATGCACCTTGTGCATGACCTTTGGCTTGTTAAATAAGGCCAACACCTTTAGTCTCCTTAAAGATGTCTTTGTATTCTTCATAAACTTTTCCCAACTCTTTGGTCTTTAAAACAAAAATATTTCTACCTCTCTGGCTTTTATGTGAAATTATTTCTCAAAAATTTCCTCAGAAATCCATAGGAAAATCTCTAGAGCATATTGATCCCCATAACGCATTATGTCAGTACTCTTTAGAACACTGGAATTCCAGTGGGGCCTGCAGCATCTGGGAGCTTGTGAGAAATGCAAGTTAACCTGGCTCTAGCCTGGACCTGCTGAAACAGAATCACCAAGAGTGGGACACAACTGAGTCTTAACAGGTTCTCCAGGTGATTCTTGACGAAAGATTGAAAAGCACTGTTTTAGATACTTTCCCATTTCTTTGTTTTCCCAGCCCTAAAGACTAGCTCTAGCTCAGTTCTAGCAGTCTGTTAGAAAAGTTTCATTATACTCAGCTACGAATTCCCAGCATGACATAGTTCCAAAGCAGGGTGAGTGTAAATTTTCACTTCGTTCCTTGGTTTTTCCTCTTGGTATTTCATCCTCTTCGTATTTCCCTAGAGTTGTGTTCTGGCTTTTCTGACACTTCCACAGCGTAAGGTGAATTCTAAAGGTCACTGCCTTTGTACAACGACTAGAATTGGAAAATGTTCAGAAATGTGGAAGGCTCTCTTCCAACGTATATTTTTACAAAATGATAAGAAAAATTAAGTATTCAGAGTGCTATTTTAACACCCCTTATAGACCTTAAGTCAGCTTGTTACTTAGGAATATGAAAATATATCTATTATAATTTGGTTTATCTGTAAATATGTCACATTGAGTGTTTTGAATGCTAAAGAAGAATTTATTCAGATAATTATAGATGTGCGTTTCTTAACAGATCAGGCCAATAAATTCAGTTTATCACAGTTGATGAAGCACTGGCTATGTGCAACTTATTTGGAGGGATATAAGAAAAAATGGTCCATACCAGTACAGAGCTTAGTTTTTAAATCTCATATTTTAAACTTTTTGTCCAATTTGTGTGAATAAGAAAAATCTTGATAAAAACCAATCATCATGTTTTAGTAAAGCAAATAGGATTTATGATTTCATAAATCAAGATCCTTAATAGTTTTTAGTAGATACCAAAAAACATTTTTTAAAAAATAAATTGCAAAGAGGAAATACTGAGCGTACTGAATATATATAATATATATTGCCACTTGAAACTACCCAGTTAGTCTAATACACAAACACAGATTTTACTGAACAGTATTTTTTAATCAGATTTCGGTCATCGGTGCTTACCTAGAAGTGTGGAAACTCTTGCATATGCTAGAAACAAGTTGTTTTTTCCCTTCTGTTGAGAGCAAGGACTAAAGGGCACATATAATTTAGTCTGCTTTTAAGCACAAAGCTGTACGATTTTCAAGTCTGATCATTATATCCCACAGATTTACCTTTGAGCAATGGATCGTATAGTAATTATAGGTTTAATTTTTTGAGAAACTGCCATACTGTATTCCAGAGTGATGCACCATTTTACATTCCTGTTAACAGTCCACAAGGGTTCCAGTGTCTCCACATCCTTGCCAACATTTGTTCTCTCTCTCTCTCTCTCTTTTAGAGAGCACGGGTGTGAGCAGGCTGGGAGGCAAAAGGAGAGAGGGAGAGAGAATTTTAAGCAGGCTACATACCCAGCACGGAGTCTGATGTGGGGCTCTATCCCACAACCCTGAATTCATGACCTGAGCCAAAATCAAGAGTCAAATGCTTAACTGACTGAGCTACCCATGAACCCCTCACCTTTCTTTTTTGTTTGAAAATAGCCATCCTAATGGGTGTGAGGTGGTATTTCCTTGTAGATTTGATAAAATAATTTACTTTTGAAGAGTAAGGACCAAGTAATGAAAAGTAAATACCTTTTCTGAAATGTGTTATTCCTCAGTGTTTTCATATCCCAGTGGAAGGACTAAAACTGCAGTCAAGGGAATAGGGAAGGCATAAATTTTCCCCCAAAATATTGTATATTACTACTAACAAGAATAGTCTACGAAGAAAGAGGCTAGTCTTGACTACTGTGTCCCATCTTTGGCATTCATTGTGCTTCAAGGTTAAGTTTTTTCTTGCTATTTTTAGTTGAACCAACATTCTTACTAAATGTAAAGTGGGCTCTTTTTTCTGCATTTGCAAACACAGTGTCTTGTAACTGCCGTAGAAAAATCAATACTTCCCTAACAGGCTGTTCTGTGCCCATAAATATAAAACTCCAGCAGCCCAAGTAGCAGATGCCCTAAATACTTCAAAACAAGACCATGTGGCTGACAATTAGAGTTGGGGAAAGTATACTAAATCTTCAGTTTAAAAAGAAATCATTTAAGTAAAGTTTATTTTGCTGTTGTCATACATAGCTCAGAATTTTGCTTTGCTGGGACGCCTGGGTGGCTCAGTGGTTGAGCATCTGCCTTTGGCTCAGGGCGTGATCCCAGAGTCCCCGCGGGATTGAGTCCCACATCGGGCTTCCTGCATGGAGCCTGCTTCTCCCTCTGCCTATGTGTGTCTCTCATGAATAAATAAATAAAATCTTTTAAAAAATAATAACGTGCATATTCAAGGACGAAGGTACAGCATGATATGACATTTAAAAAAAGAATTTTGCTTTGCTGATCAGGAAGGGATTAAGTTTTCTATGGCGAGAGTCTCTTCAGGTTTACACAGTACTCATCTGCTAGATGAAATCGTCAGTGTCCATCCTACCCTCTACCTTCCTTTTCAAAGAAGTATCAGTACCATATATTGTGGACTTTGGTAATACCCCATTTTGAGGTCACTCTTATTAATTATTCTGTAATCTTTTAGAAAATTGTTACATTCTTTTTTTTTTTAGAGTACCATTTAGTTTTTTTATTTAGGCTGTGTGTTTATTATGTTTAAAAACATAAGAAAAATTATATGTTGCAGGGACCACTTTTTTTCATATATAAAAATTGACTGTACTCTTACCACCCAGAGATAACCTTTGTGGTTAACATTAGGGGATATGATCTTCTTGACTATTATATATAGTTTTTTTTTAAATGAAAGAGGTACCTGTCCATACTGTATTGTACCTTGCTTTTTCAATTAGTTATGTTGAAAAGCTTTGCCTGATTATCCTTCCTAAGCCTCATTTTTAGTGACTACATAAAAATTTGAATGTTCGTGACTGTATAATAGTACATATATAACCAATTCTTGAAGATTTAACTTTTGGTGTAATGTCATTTTTAATTTGTGGTGCAATTTTTTTTCCTGGTATCTTATAGCTTTTTTTTTTAACTGTGAAAAGGTAAATCTATAGTTTTTCAATAAAAAAATGATGGAGAAACATTGATCAACATATGGAAATTTACTGTTTACATATCTGCTTGGGGAAATACTTTCTTGCCTGGAGAGACAACTATAATTGAATATACTGGTGGTAGTCATTTAAAATAAATTTAATAATATTAATTTTCTGAAATCCTGCTATGGTTAAATATACTGAAACTCAAATGTGTTATTCAATTTAGGAGAGCACAAGCTTCATTTTATCCCTGCCTTGATTGGCCCTTTCCTAGAAGTGACCCTGATACCCCAACCAGATCTCCGGAATGTCATGATTCCTATTTTTCATGATATGATGGATTGGGAGCAGAGGCGGAGCGGCAATTTTAAACAGGTAGGTGGATGAGCTGCTCAGAGCAGTTGGGAGAGTTTCAGTTCTCCTTGAGCACCTCTGAGCTATGAGATTCAACTCTGAGTTGGGAAATGAGCACTGAGCCAGCTGTCAAGGGATTTAGATTCCAGCCCGGCCTGCCTTCTCCCATTCCTGTGGCCTTGATCACGTCTCCAGTCTTATGTCCCCCTAAGCCTCTGGGGAAGCCTTCAAATCCCTTTCAGCTGAAAAATTCTGTGATTTCCAAGATCTCTGTTTAAGAGCCAGCAGAGACTTGATCTGTTCCCAGTTAGACACAACACAGAGGAATCAGAAGGTTAATGTTTCTTAACATCATGGACCTTTCAGTGGTCTGATCATTGCATTTGGTGAATGGCTTTGTTTTGAGCATTGGATGCCCAGTATGTTATATTGCTGTTTGCTTGAAGCATGGATAATTTAAACAGGAAAGCAGTGGAAATTCTTGGAAAGGAGATTCCAAGATGAGCCTATTATTTCTCAATGACATAGGTTCTGATAGCTCCAGTTTTGGAAAGAACACATTTTTTTGTTGTTGTTGTTGTTGTTTTACAAAACCAGATCACATAAGAAATCAGCTGCCTTCGCCACACCAAGTCACTCAAATTGAGGATAATAGCTTCTTTCTGTTCACACACTCACTGCAGTGACCTGTACACACTTACCTGTGTGAAGGATCTGCCCCTCCCCCTTCATGCTTCTCCAAATGAAGCCTTTCTCAAATTTTAAAAATGATCATAAACGGTATGAGCAAGCTGCACGCAACACAGAGCCCTCCTACTGTCGGAAGCATGGCATTTCACCTGTATCAATTTCTCATTTCAAGAAAGCTAATAAGTTAAAAAAAAAAACAACTAATAAGTAAATGGAAGGCTCTTTTAAAACTGTTCCTGGGTGTGGGGCACTCCTTCCCCTTGGTCTTCTTACCCTTAATAGAATTTGATTCAAAGGAAGAATTGAGCTTCGTCCTTTGACAAAGTCAAATATGCCTCCCAATCTGCACTTGTTTACCTCTCTCTGGCCGTGCGGGGGTGTCTCATTCCTGTCTCTGCTGCCTCCAATAGACAGATGAAGGGCTATTTCTGCTTTCCTGATATTCAAGGCCCAGAGGATTTACATTCTTGAAGATATAAATGTTTTGACTACAGTTTTTCAGGAAATATGTCCCTTCTCTCTCATGTAGCTTATTGCTGACTTAGAATATTTCTATGGATCTACCATCTGTACATGGATAAGGCAAGTTCTCAACTTGAGCAAAGATTTAGTGGAACCTCGAACTGTTTTGAGAAAGAAAATAGATACAAAACACATCAAAGATTTAAATTAACGTCTGTGGGTATGTTTCTTTGCTAACGTTCTTACACATAAAGTGATTTTTTTAAAAAAATAAATAAGTAGGACTTGCCAGTTTTTATAGCTCTTAAAAAAAATCCAAGTGTTTAAGCTGGGCTGCAAGCATTTGTGTTTGAGTCAACAAATAGATGTCTCTGGTGGCAGCAAATGGTACCCCTCCGGGAGTTTGAAGTCATGTTGCTCCATCTAAATTAGCCCCCTAGAATTCCAAGGGGCTGTCTGCTATTAACCACAGTTTATGATAATGTTGCTTTCATAAAATTCACTGTGGGTTTTTTTTTTCCCTTGCAGATATAAATGCGTTTCGGTTTGCCTAGAGATCCCACTTGTAAAGGGGAAGAAAGGGAGTAACATTTGGGTATATTTCAGGTGGAAGCCAAGCTCATTGACAAACTGGATAGCCTGATGTCGGAAGGCAAAGGTGATGAAACATACCGCGAGCTCTTCAACAGTATGTGAGTAGCATGTGTATGTAAGTCAGTTCCATTCAGAGGATGTGGTGTCAGTGCTGAGCGACTGAGAGCTGCAAAGACAGCCTGGGTCTCACAGGAGTGCTTTGTCTTTGTGTAGTGTGAAATAAAAGATAATTGCCTAACTCTGGCGAATGGATCTTATTATGTTGATGATTAGACATGTCTCCTTATTTTAATCTCTGATTAGGTCAGGTCACTTGTGTTATGTAACAAATCTCTCTCTTTTCAAGCCAAAGAATTAAAACCGGGGCTGCAAGATCATGATTTTAAGTAGGGTTAAGAGTGGAGAGGAGTGGTGTGATTATCATGTTCGTGTGCAATGCTTTCCGAGGCAAGATGTCCTTGGCTGGTTTGTTGGTGGGGAAACTAACCTAGCTGGCATCTGTTTTTCAGCGCTTGATTTGATTCATCAATACTGATTGCTCACTCAGCATTATCATTTACTGTCTACCTGTTTCTTATTAGAATATCACAGAAGCAAGTCATTTTTAGTAGTTTCTGTGATTTGGATTTAGATGGAGGACAGAATGACAACAGAGTGCTGGGAGGGAGCTTTGAGGTTATCCTTATCAATAGAAGGTGATCACAATCCAGGGTGAATTGCTTATACCAAATTTTCATGCACTGTGTGAGATGGCCAGTGAGGACATGTAAGAATGTTTTAGTACTTTAGGATTTGAAGTCTAACACTTGTTTTCTCTATGGTTTTCTGTGGATCTTAACCATTTTCAGTTCTAGTATATTGATAAAGTGTGTTTCTTTTTGAAGGCAAGACTAGCTTATGATGCTTGGAAAATGTTTGCAAGTCTTTCAGAAATACAAAAATCATTCAGCAATATATTTTTCTATTACAGAATGTACCTTTCCATGTATTTATGCCCAAATGTCATGTAAAACTATTAATGCGTTAGGATTGATAAGCCAAAAGCAAAGTTGTATACTTCGTGTTATGATCATTAATTTTAAAAAGTAGATACATTAGTATCCAGGTTTAGGAAGTATTACTAGTGATAGATAGATTTCAAGTTGCCTAATTCAGAATCATCCCCAAACCCTTTAAGAAAATTATATTCAAAGGAAAAGTCAAGAAAGGGTATACAGATTTCTTAGGATGGTGGTGGGTGATGATAAAATACATTCTTTGTACTGAATCCTGAACAAAACCATTTTCTTCTGATACTGTAATTAAACTGGAACTTTTAGTAATTATTCACCAAGCCCTTGTTCATTCTAGTGTACAAAGCGCCGGCGTTTCATGACAGCTGGAGTTTAGCAAGAACTCTGATTAAAACCTCATCCAGTGTAATAAATTGCCTTTGAAAACTGCTCTCATTTCAGTTACCAGTCCTTGGTTGGAACAAAGAAATAAAATGAGCAAGCACTCAGTGAAATGAATCTCTTGAGATTTGTGATTAATTATTTATAATAAACTCACAAGATTAATAAATACATCATTTTATAGTGCCTCTTATCTGCTTTAATAAAAGCCTATAGCTTGCAGTTTGGATTGCTTGTGTATAAATGGGGCTTTGAAATAGAAGATGTACCTTGACATTAGAATCAAACCAATAATTAATGTATTAAGCCTCTATAGTTAAGACTGTTTTAAGGTGCCTGATTTCATTCAATGAAGATTATTTTTCTTTTGTGATTTTTAGCATATTATTAGAAATGTTACTATAAATATTTTTCTTTCATGCTTTTCTCATCGGCATATTGGGATTAAACAAAACCTAAAGTGATAATTAAATATCATTACTACCTGGGCTCAGAAAAGAAAGTGAAAACCTAACTATATTTCAGGAAACAATGAAATGCTTCTTTGGCAATAGAAGTCACCATGAATTAGTATAGGCACAGTGAGTCACCGCACACATTATGAATTAGGAACAAATGCCATTATGGTACAGATTCTTATTTGTTCTCTGTAATTCATATCTAAAACTTCTTCACATTTGTTCAGAAGCTGAAAGGAGCTCCCTGCTTCCTGAACATGTAGCAATTGCCCAAGTAGCCTCCTTAGAAGGAGACCTGAAATGTGTGCAGTAGTTTCCTTCCTAAGAGCTCACTCACCTCCACCCCCCCCCCCATATTATCTTCATGGACCCAGAAAACATCTTTTGGAGATAAGTTGGAGTCAGGATTTATTATTTTTGATAATGCTGAAATTGTAGATCATAGACACCAGAGTGATATCTCCTGAATAGAGTACCAGAATTAAATCCTGCCTCCCCTGACTCTACGTGATTTACTCATTTGGTTTTATTTATCAAGCACCTCCCTGTGTCAGGGATGAATTTTTCTTCTGGGACAGGGGACATTGCAGTGACTGTGCTGTCAGAGCACACAGTAGGGCACTTGCTGAAAGAGATACCATCCCTCTCATTTCTTTCTCGTGTGTTGCTCTAAGTAATTAAATAAGACTCCAAGTTATTGCAAAGCTATTTTTTTAAATTTTTTTAAAGATTTTATTTATTCATGAGAGACACAGAGAGATATAGAGACACAGACAGAGGGAGAAGCAGGCTCCTCATAAGGAGCCCGATGCGGGACTCGGTCCCGGGACTCCAGGATCACGCCTTGGGCCGAAGGCAGACACTGAACTGCTGAGCCACTCAGGCGTCCCTCGAAGCTCTTTCTTTGGCGATCACACATTTAACTTTAGTTTGGAGACCCAGCATTGGCTATGCAATACATATGTCTAACTCTTGTCTTTGGATTAAGAAGAGCATGGACAGACACGAGTGTTTCATGTAGGAGTGATGGCCTCAACGCCATGGCACAATGATGTAGAGAGAAGCCAACTTAGGGTCAGATCCTACCTCCCCCTGTTAATATTCTTTCACAGCGTAAGAGCACATTGAGCATTATGTCATCCTACAGAACTGTGGTGTATGTATCCCTCTCTCCCATGTTACGGAAGCCCATAGCCTATCAACTTGGCAATCAGAAATCACCCTTCACTGTTACTGGATGCATTCCCTGTGTACTCAGCCTGGGCCCATGGGCATGATTATAGACCAAATAAAAAAATACCCATCTCACCAAAGTTATCTCTAGAAAGACTCTTCTCTTCTTGCTGATAGGCTCCCCTTCTCAGTTAAATGGGGAGAACAAGCTTCCTGAGAGAAAGAGCAGGCTGGCTGTGAAAGCAGATGACTTGGGTTCTGGACCTGGTCCTAGGGTCTGAGATTAGTCGAAGTTAAGGAGGCTCTGCACAACTGTGCCCCTTCTTACAGGAGGGCTTCTCTAGCTCTGATTTCTTACTGCATCAGGAGCTGTGCAAATTAATGAAATTCATGCCCACAAAGGAAGTCTCCATATATTTTTAGAATCATTACTTAACTTGAGTTCTTTGTTTTTCAGCCCGTAAAGTATATGAGGTGTGGGCTGTCACTTGGGGAAATTTCTCCATCATCCTGCATTGCTTTGGCAGGCAGATTTGCATTTGAGTACTTGGTTCAATACCAGTTTGGCATTTAAGCTTGAAACAGGTGCTGTTCGGAGGTTTGTTTTTGTTTTGTTTTGTTTTGTTTTTTAAAGAAAACACATTTAAACAAACTAAGGGACCTTCCCTGGGGAATGATTAGTCAGGGCAGGCCCCATCACTTCCTATACTTCTCCCTCCCCTGCTCCCTCTCTCCTCCCACTTAATCCATGGAAGCAAGTCAGAAGAAACCAGGAAGGGAATGATCAGAGATGCTTGGGCAACAGATGAGGAAACAAGACACAGGACATTGGAATGGCAACAGCAAGAAGTGGGGAGGGAAACTGAGAGAGAGCAGAGCCACAGGAAAGAAAGGAAGGAAAGAAGGAAGCTAGCTAGCTTTGGCAGAATGGCTTTTTTCTTTAATATTTATTTTTCCTTTAAGCACAATATAAGATTGGCTTAGATTGTAGTCATGAGAAATGCTTTCTCTCTCCGCTATTCCCCGAGACCGAGATGAAAGGGGCGCAAGATTTTAGACAGAAAAGATCATTAAATGCGGAGGGGTAGGGAAGGATCCTCCCAGTGCCATGCCTGTGCTCTTACTTTTATCTTTCGGAGAAAGTTCAGTCCCTAAAGGCTTTGCCAAGCGCATGCTTAATTTGCCAAGAGGCAGGAGTGAAAGTCAAACAGATCCTAATTATCCTGATTGTTGTGATTTTGTGTTTACGAAGTGCCTCTGCTCCAAGGGGCTTAAGATTAGGGGAGATGTAGGAGGAGAGATGTGGTTCGGTACTCGTCATCAATCTGCTGTAACAGCCACATAGACAATCCCCGTGATTAATGACAAAATGAATGAAAGTGTTGAGTGAGTGCACAGATAGTACAATATGTATTGAGTGGGCAAATGTGAAGGGAAGGGAAGGAACGCCAAACGTCATACCGTCTGTACAAGGATTTTCCTCTAGCACTTGCATTGCAGTAAAATTGCCTGGATGAAGATGCATTCCACCGAGAGGTAGGAAAACATTTTTCTGCGAATAAAAGCAAGATCTTATTTCAGAGTAAACTTCGAGGTACTCCTGTTGTTGCTTTTCGTGGTGTTATTTGCTGTGGGTAGGCTCCAGCCTCCGTGAGTGTAAGAGAGAAGCCAGGGGGAAATGTCTTGGAGCCATGGGGGTGCTTGTATATTTCGTAAAAAATGATCATATGCATGTGTTCGTATTTTATGACTTGGATAATCTGAACATCAATTTGCTTTGTCAATGCTTCCTGGATTAGAATTCCACTATTTGGTCCCTATCCTAGGTAAGACATTGTTTGCAAATCGTGCTACTTGTGAGATGTTGCAGTGGTTGCTAAGGCATTTAAGGTACTGATGAAAGTAAAATGGTTGTCATGGTGACTGATAAAAATAAATGTTGAAAATGCCCTGGGTTCTTTCTTTTCCAGTCTACTAAAGAAAATTGAGCGGGAAACATGGAGGGAAAGTGGCGTTTCATTAATCGCCACCGTAACTCGTCTGATGGAGAGGTTGTTAGATTACAGGTAAGCAGAGTCCCCCCATCTCCCAGGTGTGATGTGCTCCAGCTAGAAAATCCCAAAGTTCAAACGCAGTCAACTTTCCGCTGGAGTTAATCACGCAAAGGATTGATAATCAGATCGCAGAACCTTGTGCAGCAGGATAATGGACTTGTAACTGGCTGGTTATGAGTTTTTTGTTGATCCCCCCCGCCCCCTTTTTCTCTCTTTGTTTTGGTTGATGGTTCTTTCAAAGTCTTAGAGTGAGTTGAGAAGGTTCTCAGAGTCCCATTAGTAAAGGAATCCTTTTTGGTGTTTAGACTCAGCCAGTTGAACCAGTTGATCCGTGTGGGTTTTAAGGTGAGGACATTGTGACAGAAAATTGTACAGTCGTGCTGCTTTCTTATGAAAGGGGGTGCTGTGTGGCACGCACCACTGTTACCTTTCATAGACGGGAATTTTTTATTTTTTATTTTTAAATTATCTCAACTGTTAAAGCAGTTCGTCCCATTTAAATGCGTGGTGTTTTTCTTTTAAGAGTGAATCCCTCCTTCTCGTTGTTGATGGCCAGGCTTCCAGCTATGTCTCACCCCTCTGGAAGAAGGTGTATAAGAACACATCTTCACTCTTCCTTCTCCCAGAGGGCCCCCCCCCCATCTATTGACAGGGAGCGCAGTCCACATGCAAGTAAAATGCGCCCCAGAAACGGGTGCTCAGGAATGTCTCACCTGAGATCATATAGCCTGGGGCAGCTCCTCTGGTCCCCAGAACCTCTGTCTCAACTACTTGCAAATTGCCTCCGTCTCTAACAGTACTTCCCCACCTCCCCACCCCTGCCTTAAATGAAGAAACTGTCCCTAGGAAGGGAGTTCTGAGTTCTGACGATTGCTTTTTGTTTTTAGGGACTGCATGAAAATGGGAGAGGTAGATGGCAAAAAGATTGGCTGCACAGTTAGCCTTCTGGTTAGTAAACTATTCCCCTTTTCTTCCTTTTAGCCTAATGTTTGATTTTTCACAGAAATACTGTTTTGCTTGTTTTTAGTTTACAATGTGTTTTTTTTTTAATCTGGATGTTTCTTAGAAGAGCTTGAAAGTGTTTTCAAAAGAAGCTTCAGGTTGAATTAAATCCCAGAAAACTCTCAGCTGCGAACACTGTAGAATGTACCAACTGCATCCCCTGAGGCTCCGTGAGATCAGAGTGATGCCCCCTGTTCTCCTGTGGCACTGCTTCACCATCCCCGAGTCTTTGGTGGCTTTCCTAGGAAAAGGCACAGGGTCCCCGGGTAGAGATCTTTTTACCTCTGTGCAGTTTCTTTCTTTCTGTCCCTCCTCTTTTTTTTTTTTTTTCTGTCCCTCTTCTTATAGTCAGTCTACATTTTAATGAATACTCATCATCTCTTCTTTTGTGAACAAATGACAGTTTCTGCTTAACGCACTAATTTTCACTCTCTAGCTTGTTGGCAAACTAAGTGTCTGATACCACTATGGTTAAGTTTTGCATTATAACTAAGATAACCATATAATCGATCACCCAAACAGGACTTTTTTTTTTTTAAGAGTAAAATTAAAAATGATGTCAGGAAAACAGGCTGCACCAGAATTTTCCTGGAAAACTGAACTGTATTAAAATGTCTCATCACTAATTATCAAATAGGATGGTTGATAGGATTCACTTCTCGCCAAAGAGCTAAAGAATATCCATCCATAGAGACATTCTTGTTTTGTATATATATTTTTTAATATAGGGTGTATTGCTGCTTTTGATGATTTCCCTTAGTCAGATTTAAAATACAGACTATGTGACTGCTTCCAGTTCTAAATTTGTGAGTACTTATGTTGCAGAAGAGATGCAACCTCACCAGCTATTCTAAGTGCCTGTATAGACAGTCTTATCTTGACCGTGGTTGTTGGGATCGCTCGCATGCCCCACTCTTCTCTCTTGGCCGGCACCCTGGAAGCGTCCTTTGCCCCCCTCTCATTCTCTCTGATCCCAATTCACTGGCTTTAGTCTTTTCAGCCCGTCTTGTTTATTCCCCTCAGAGCCCCTCTTCAAAGCACAGGACTTCTGCTTTCTCATTACCAGTGTCCCTCACTCGCCTTCTCACTGAGCCGTGCTCCCCTCCGGGTACGTATGTGCCCGTGTCCTTCTTAACCACACCTGCTGCTTGTTCCTCATTTCGAATTCAGGCACCACATCTCCACCTCCAATACCAGTCAGTAAAAACTGTGAGACCCCAGAGTCCTCTCTCAGGCCACATCTTGTGCGCTTTCTTCCATCATTTTTGTCATCAGACCCAACAGTGACATCAGGCCACCAGGCTAGACTCACGAGGCCAGCCCACTCACCTCCTCCCTGGGCTCTCATTTCTTTTCTTTTCTTTTTTTTCTTTTCTTTTCTTTTTTTTAAGATCTTATTCATGAGAAACACAGAGAGGAGAGAGAGAGAGGCAGAGACACAGGCAGAGGGAGAAGCAGGCTCCATGCAAGGAGCCCGACGTGGGACTCGATCCCGGGTCTCCAGGATCAGGCCCTGGGCTGAAGGCAGCACTAAACCGCTGAGCCACCCGGGCTGCCCTGGGCTCTCATTTCTAACCTTGAGCGTAGTCATTACCACTTTTAAGTCTCCTGTGTGTGTTTCCCCAATGTCCTGCCCTTGCCAGCCTTCTACCACATTCAAGATCCTCAGCCCGAGCTGCCTCTGTATCAGTGTTTGGGAAGAAGAGCCAAAGTGCTCTGTAAACTCTGTCTTCTTAACCCCAGCTTTTCCCAGTGCCCGCCACAAAGTTTTAGAAATAACCTCAAAGGACAGCCTTTACCTTTTTCCAGAACAATCGTCTTCTCTCGTCTCCATCTTCTCCCACAGTGCTTTCTGTGTGCAGGTAAATAGGTACGTGCAAGACTCTAGGCTCACTTTCTCAGTTGGTGTAACAAAAGAGATCATTTCCTTGGATGAAGGAATGAATGTTCTGCCCAAAATGTGTGTAGTCCCCCAGCAGGAATAAGCCAGACACCTAATAAAAATCAGTAGCCCCAGCAGGATTCACTTGACACAAAGAATTTATCCTGTTGGCTTTGCACTAAGAACAATCTTCACAGAAAATGTTAACATTGTGAGAGCTGTTCTAATTTCAAACTAGCACAAGAAGGCTTATTATCCAAGTGCCAGATACATAACTTTGAAGCTAATCTTTTTAGCTTCTAGTCCATATGGAAAGTTCTTGATATTTTCTAGTAGTAATATGGTTCTCTTCAGCTACTCACTTCCTCTTAGAGATTTTTCCTAACTCTTTGGAAAGACCATTTCCAGATAGTCTTCAGGAGAGCTCTGGCATCCTTCACAAGATTGAAGTTAAACTAGTGTTAAATCGGTAAAAATGCATAGTGTTTGACATGACTAATACTAGGAAATGTAATTATTGTTTTGTTCTTTGTGTCACAAGTTTTGCCAGACATATGTGAAGAATTCTCATCTGCTGACTGGAGAAATTTTTCTTCTTCTTTTTTTTTTTTTCAAGGAGAATTAGTCATTTACAAAGTGATCACTTATTTTCTCAAAAAAAAAAAAAAGAAAAAAAAAAAGCTGCTTCTTACCAGAAAGCTATTAGAGCAAATCATCCCTTAATAATGTAAAAAGCCTGCTGTGGGGTTGTTAGACTTGTGTTTACGGTACAACAATTCTTGCTAATGAAAATGATTTTGGTTATAATAAGAGAGATGTGACTAGCACTATTTGCTTAGATATTTAAAGAATGCCAAGATCTATAGGCGGTAAGAAGAAAAGGGGGAGGATAATGGTATAAATTGGAAGAAAAAAACTCTTACAATGCATTCAACTAAATGTCAGTGCCTCAAGGTTATAAGAGTTCTCATACTGAAGAATAGACACCTATTAGGTAGTGGACAGAAAGTACATTTGACAGAAAGTCCTCAGGCTTGAAGCCAAGAACAATTTAAGCAGCCACATTGGCTAGTTTGGTTCATCACCAGAGCCCTGTCCAGCTAATCAGTTTCAAAGATTTTTAGAATTCCTGGTCTTTCTCCCTTAAAGAAAACCTGTCACTCCTGGAGGTCAACAGATTTATCCCCATATCACCACTCATTTTCCTTTCTTCCCCATACTGGCTAGATCAGTCAACAACAGTGATAGTAGTTTGGATGACTTGAGCAGGGATTTCATATTGTACAATGATCTGCTAACAAAAAATGCCCCATTTAGAACCTCCTGGCATCTTGCTTTTTGCTAGAACCTAACGTCATGTACATTTTTGTTCTATGTTTACTAAGTTCAGTGAGGGCTGAGGTACTTTGTACAATGTGGTGAAGGAGTACATGTGGGTGTGTATAGCTTACGCCTTTAAAAAGCCAATGTAATGTGTCCAGGTAGGTCAGAGTTGAATTTTTCATAACACATAACCACGTAATGTGTCCAGGTAAGTCAGAGTTGAGTTGAATGTTCTCAAAACATTTTAGAGAAGTTTATTTTTTTTAAGATTTTATTTATTTATTCATAGAGACAGAGAGAGGCAGAGACACAGGCAGAGGGAGAAACAGGCATCATACAGAGAGCCCGACGTGGGACTCGATCCAGGGTCTCCAGGATCATGCCCTGGGCTGCAGGCGGCGCTAAACCGCTGCGCCACCAGGGCTGCCCTTTAGAGAAGTTTAATAAGACCCAGATATTTTTTCTTTAAATAAACAAAAATATTTTCAGTAAGCATGCCCCTCTATAAATAGTTTGAAATCTCTTGTTAATAATCCCTTGGCTGGAAAGACTGAAACTCCAACACAAGAAACTCAGAATAGTGCCTTACTAGTAAAGAGCATTTTCATTTGCCCTCCTTTACAGGATTCTTCAGAGGAAGAAAAAAATGCTTTTACCTTATTTTTATTTATCCTTACCCATAGATTTTAGAAACTTTTTTTTCTTTAGAGCAAAATATGTTTGAAACTTGAAATTAAGCTATCCTTTGACTATCAGTAGTCAGGCTTAATAAGCAGAGTAATCTGTTACATATTTTTAATATTTTTAGTTGAATAGGCAGTAAAAACTAACAAATAGTGTACAAAAGAAATGTGAGTCACTGGTAGTGACACTATCCAAGCATTACCAGCTTATCCAGTAGTTGCTAGGTAATGTTTAACACAGTATTGCATTAAAAATATATCACTGGGTCTCTTTACTTAATTTTTAAAAAGACATTTATTAAAAAAAAAAAAGACGCTTATATGGAGCAATGCATCCATTCTCGCGGTTCCAGACATGGAACTTCTACAGAGTAAAAGGCAGCTGTTTGCAGGCCTGACTGTTGAGAAACGGTCCATACCTGTATTCTTTTTTTACAGAACTTCTATAAAACTGAACTGAACAAGGAAGAGATGTACATACGCTACATCCACAAACTCTATGATCTGCATCTCAAAGCCCAAAACTTTACAGGTAATTCTTTTTGTCTTTTGGCTCAGGCTGGGAAGAGTGGGCTGGACACTGGTTTATTAGACATGTCACTCCCTGGGTTTTTACATTTAGAGCTGAGGCCTCAAGCATTGCATTTGTACTTCCAAACTGAAATTTTTGCTTGGATCTATGTTTCTGAATACTCCATTTTAATGTATTGGCTTTGTCACTATACCACTTGGCATTGTTTTTTGAGAGGTTGCTTTTGGAATTACCAAATACATATCTAACTTTTCAGAGTCCACTTACAGTTGGTATTGTAGCACTTGAAATTAAATGCTATGTTGTCATTGTCCTATGTATTACATGTGCATGCATTGAAAACCCCATATTACTGTTTGTATTGCTCTTTCTTCATTCAGGAAAGTTCTCAGCTCCTCTTTGTTACCATTTTTATTCAGTCTAAAGAACTTGTCTTCATATTTCTTTTAAAGTAGATCTAGTGGTGAGGGGCACCTGGGCGGCTCAGTCAGTTCAGCGGCTGACTCTTGGTCTCCAGTCAGGTCATGATCTCAAACTTGTGAGTTCGAGCCTTGTGCTGGGCTCTGTGCTCAGTGCAGTCTACTTTGGATTCTCTCTCCCTCTCATTCTCTCTCTCTCTTTCTTAAATAAATAAATAAAATCTTTAAAAACAAAACAAAAAACTAGATCTAGTAGTGAAGAATTCTCTTTGTTTTGCTTCATCTGAGAATGTCTTCATTTTGCCTTTATCCCAGAAGGATACATTTGCTGGATATTGAATTCTAGGTGGATAGTTCTTTTGTTTCAGTACTTGAAAAATGTTGCTCTGCTGTCTTCTGGCCTCCATGGTTTCCAATAAGACATCAGCATCATCTAAATTGTGTCCCTATGTTTAATGTCTAAGTTTCTCTGGTTGCTTTTAAGCCTTTATCTTTGGTTTCCAGCAGTTTGATTATGATGTACATGGGCTTGGGCTTTCTTTAAGATTATCCTGTTTAGGTCACAGTGTCTCTTGAATTTACAGACTTATTTCCTTCACCAGATTTGGGAAATTTTCAGGCATTATTTCCTCAAATGTGTTTTCTGTACCAGTCCTTGTCTTTTGGGACTCTGATGACATGAATGTTAGGCCTTTTGGTATTGTTCCATAAGTTCTTGGGGCTTTATTAATTTCTTTTCCCCAATGTTTCTTCTTTCTTTGTTTCTTGTTCAAATAGGATAATTTCTGCTGATCCATTTGCAAATCCACTGTCTCTTCTCTGCCATTTCCATTCAGCTACTGAGACCTTCCAGTGAAATTTTAATTTTTGTTACTTTATTACTCAGTTGTAAAATTTCCTTTCCACTTTTGGTTTTTTGTATGTTTGGTTTGTTGTTGTTATTTTGTGGGGTTTTTTGTAGCTTCCTTTTCTTTGCAGGGAGCTTATATCTTTCTATTCAAGAGCATTCACTTTTGGGGCCCCTGGATGGCTCAGCTGTTGAGCGTCTGCCTTGGGCTCAGGTTGTGATCCTAGGGTCCTGGGATCGAGTCCCACATTTGGCTCCCTGCAGGAAGCCTGCTTTTCCCTCTACCTATACTCTGCCTCTCTCTCTATGTCTCTCATGAATAAATAAATTAAATATTTAAATTAAAAAAAAGGAAATCAAATGCCAAAACCAAAATGAATGAGATGTTTGAATGACATCGCACACCAAATTTAAAAATTGCTTTCTCCATGTGCCTCCTCTCTGTGATCTTCCTCATTTTTCTTATCTCCCAAGGGCTCCTTTACCTAGCACTCTAGCTTAATCAAAGCCAAATTGGTCAAAGCCAAGGCTTGATTCCACCCCCCCCACACACACACACACACATTATGATGCACTCCATACAGCTGGTCTTCCTGGGAGCCAAACACTGAACAGAAGAAAAGCCCATGGACGCCTCTGCTGCCATTGTGATTGTTTGCACTGTCCACTCCACAAGTTTGCTCTGTGTTCCTGGGACCCAGAAGAGGCTGGAAGGGTCAAAAGTACTCCACCCAGCCCAGGAAGTTCCTCAGTTCTCTCACCAGAGGAGCTTTCCTTGGAGCCTTTTCTGTCCATTTCCATTTGTAGTTCCAGGAGACCAGGAAGGCTAAGCCAGGAGATGGGAAAGGAAAAAAACAAAAACAAAACAAAAAAAACAAAAACAAAACAAAACAAAAAACGAGAAGTCACTACTTTTTTTTTTTAAAGATTTTATTTATTTATTCATGAGAGACACAGAGAAAGAGGCAGGGACATAGACGGAGGGAGAAGCAGACTTCCTGTGGGGAGCCTGACACGGGACTCTATCCCAGGACCCTGCGCCAAGCCAAAGGCAGATGCTCAACCACTGAGCCACCCAGGCTCCCCGAGAGCTCACTATTTTATGGTCATTCTTTGAGTATTCTTTTTCTTACTCTTCCTACCTTCTTTTTTTTACTTTTCAGAATCCTCCAAGAGTTGCTTTATATTTTCTGCCTAGGGTTTTTAGTTACAATCAGTGGGAAAGATAGGATATGAGATGCTCCCTACATTGTAACCAGAAAACAATGCTTTAGCTGGATGTAGGAACTATAAATCTGAGTCTGCTGCCACACTGTTCTTCCCAGGAACTCCTGAATTGTGGCCCTTCCTCCAGCTTTAAAAGAAAGCAATCCTTTCAGAAATGGTGCTTGTGTGGCCAGAATTTAAATAATGCCTCCAGCTACTGTGTCACTGTATCAATTAACAGCATCTCCGTTGACTCAGTGTGGAGACCTCGGTATCTCTGAGCCTCCTGCAACCTAATCATTCACCGTGTTCTATTCATTTCCCTTCCTAACAATCTCTCAAAAATATTTCCCTTTCTTTGTTTCCCCCCTTCCCTGCCCCCCCCCCCCCAGGCCTCTGTGCGGCCTTCGTGGTCTCACGCCTGGACTGTTTCTTAAGTAGCCCCAGAGTTCTTCCCTAGAGCAGAGGGGCAGAGACTGCAGCCTGCAGACCAACCACCTGATCTTGTAAAGGAAGTGTTACTGGAGGGGCACCTGGGTGGCTCAGTCGGTTGTCTGCCTTCGGCTCAGACCATGATCCTCAGGGTCCTGTGATCGAGCCCCACGTGGGGCTCCCATCTCAGCAGGGAGTCTGCTTCTCCCTCTCCCTGTGTTCCTCCCCCTGCTTGTGCTCACTCTCAGGTATGTGTGCATGTGCTCTCTATCTTCCTCTCTCAAATAAATAAATAATCTTTTTTTTAAAAATGTGTTATTAGGGATCCCTGGGTGGCGCAGCGGTTTGGCGCCTGCCTTTGGCCCGGGGCGCGATCCTGGAGACCCAGGATCGAATCCCACGTCGGGCTCCCGGTGCATGGAGCCTGCTTCTCCCTCTGCCTGTGTCTCTGCCTCTCTCTCTCTCTCTCTCTCTGTGACTATCATAAATAAATAAAAATTTAAAAAAAATAGCACAAAAAAAATGTGTTATTAGAACTCAGCCACACTCACTTCCGCAGACATTGTCTATGGCGGCTGTTGTGCCACAAAAGGCAGAACTGAGTAGCTACAACAACAATCACATCACCTGCAAGCTAGACTGTAAATCATGATCATTTTAATTATCAGTTTTTTTTTATTGTCTGGCCCCTTTCGACAATTTCACCAGCCCCTTCTCTAGATAGAACTGTTTTTAGTTGGTATCTTCTACAAAAAAAGAAAAAAGTTTAAACTCTGTATTCAGGGTCCGTCATCATAAAACCAACACCTGCCCATCTGTGCAGCCTCATCTTACCACTTGGACTACGTGCCTTGTCTTCATCCTTCAGAGCGTGTGTCTTTACCATCTTTTTCTGGATTTCTCTTCCTTTTATTTCCCACAGCAACCTCATGCCCCCCACCCTTCGCCCATGCCCTGAGTTGATGATTCCCACTCTTTAACCATTGCATTTTTTTCAGATTTCATGAAAGTAGTTATCAAATTGTATTTAATAGTTATATAAGGGGTGTGTGTAGGTAGGTAGGTAGAGATATCTCTAGGTTTTTTTTTTTTTTGAGTTATCTCTAGTTAAAGAGTGAATTCCTTGAAGACAGACGTAATTTTTTCTTCTTAGTCTTCTCCTTTTAGTGCCTAGCCGTGTGAGATTTGTTTTTGTCTTTGAGAGACAGAGAGAGAGAGAGCACGTGTGCGTGGGGGAGGTGAGGGAAGGGCAGAGGGAGAGGGAGAAGCTCCAGGCCTGACACCCAGAGCAGAGCTGGTATGAGGCTCAATCTCAGGACCCTGAAATCATGACCTAAGCAAAAACCAAGTGTCGTATACATAACCGACTGAGCCACCCAGGCGCCCCAGCAGTGTGAGATTTAAATAAATGCATCACCAATAAATTTACTTGGTTAAATTTTAACACCTGCAGCGATTTTTCTCCTTCAATATTGATAATTCCTGAGTCACTAAGGAAGCCCCAGTATCTCTTCACACAGATGCGCAGATGTTTTTGATTAAATAGACTAAGATTTTGGAGGTATGTTGTCTGGGAGTTTCACTGACCATTTTCATAGTAGTTAGTAGCCAAATTTTGACAGAAATGGTGAGCTTAGTTATTAGAGCTGTAGACTCCACTAATTGTGGACTAATTTTAAAGGTCATTAAAAAAGAAATGAGGGAGGGAACTTAGGACAAGCTCTTGCAGCTATGTAATACATATTTTGGTTCTCTGAAACAGTCCCAATCTGTCGGATTATATTTCAGCAATGGGCAGGTTGTTTTCCTTTAATTTGTTTACTGAACTTGCAGTTTTTATATCCCTCAAAGTCATAAGAAATAAGTTCTCCTCCCATGCAGCATTTTATTCATCACTCCTCTGTCCTCATTTTTGTGTGTCCTTGGAGAAAGAGAAATTAATGGGAAAACTTCTCTGTCTTTATAGGATCCTGTTTAAATGGCTTTAACCCTTTGCAGCCTTCCGTGACAGTACTCTTCATTCCTGATTTATCTCCAGTCTTCTCCTGAGTTCTTCCTTGTTGCATATTGGTGTCCTCACTGTATATTTGTCAAGATGATGGAGTGAGCGGGTCCATATTTAATTATGTGGTGATGCCTTTTGTTCAAAATTATAAATACTTTTTCAATGATTGCTGGAAATTTTGGATATGATTCATTCTTCCCTCTTCAGTACATGCTATTGTCTTCTTGAGATGCAGAAGAAAAAATATCCGATGTATTGCCATAAGGCGTCTACAGTTTGCTAATGTGTTTAAAATCAGCCTCAGTAGTCTCCTGTGTCGGTCATGCCTCAAACGGATATATGTTTGATTTCATGAAAAGTTTTTTTTTTTTTAAGATTTTATTTATTTCTTCATGAGAGACACAAAGAGGCAGAGACATAGAGAAAGAAGCAGGCTCCCTGCAAGGATCCCAATGTGGGACTTGATCCAGGGACTCCAAGATCACGCCATGGGCTGAAGGAGCGCTCAACTGCTGAGCCACCCAGGTGTCCCTCATGAAAAGTTTCTACTGCTTCCATTGCACATACCATTTTCCCCAGAAAGACATCATTTTCTTGAATCAGATTCTGAAACAAGTGTCATTGATTTCACACTTTTCCATGTCCCCATTCAGTCACTCATCAGCTTCTGATGGCTTGTCAATACCTGCTTATCTTCAGGGGCACACCCATCTTCTATCACGCCCAGGGACCATCCCAGGGCAAGCATGATTTGGAAAGCACTTTAGGAACTAAAATCCCTTCGTTGCCCCTCTCCCAACTTTTAATTTTTTTTATTGTAAAATTTATGTAACATGGAATTTACCATCTGACCTGTTTTTAAGGTCACATGTCAGTGGCATGAAGTACATTCCCACTATTGTGCGACCATCACCTCTCTCCCTCCAGAACTTTATCATCTGCACAAATCAAAACTATGCCCATGAAACAGTAACTTCCCATTTTCTCTTCCCCCACCATTCTACTTTCTGGCTCTGTGAACTGGACTTTCATTGCCCTTCCATTCACTCCCTGTGGGCAGCTGAATGCTTCAACTTAATCTTTCTCATCCTTTTCTCTAGGAAATAATTAATCGCAAGAATATTTTGTGAATTCGCAGGCCTGGGGGAGACACACAAGAAATTTGAGAGATAAAAGTGATCATTCCTGTGCTGTGTATTAAGAGAAAAAGGAGTTACTCAGCAAGAGTTTGAAGGAACAGTCTGTGAGGGGTTGCAGGTGTCAGCCCATGTGGTAAATAAAGGGAACTATGGATTATTCACGTGGCAGGAGCAAAGTGTATAGACAGAGGAACAAAGACACACACAGAGCTTTCTTAGATGCTTGGCATTTATTATAAGGATATGTGGGGAATTAGAGATCAGGAAATCATCTCAGGATGTCTCACCGAAAACTAGAAAGCTATTCAGATACAGTGCAGAACTGACAGTCATTATTATCATCATTCTTGTCCTGTCAAAAGCAGCCTTCCATGGCAACCTGTGTTGTGGCGATTCAGCTCTGTTTCTGCATCCACCAAGTAACCAACAGCCCTTAGCCAATACTCTTCTCTGTCCATGTCACATTCAGCTTCCACAAGAAAGACTGTGGCTAGTGCCCATTAAAGCAGAAGGTACCTCCATCCCTTGGGGAAGCTTTCTTGCAACAACTGCTTCCAGGTCAGGATACATCTTGTTCCATTCAGCAAAAGCCGATGATGGGATCCAGGGGCCCCAACCATGGAGGCTGGAGGCTTTTTAGGAGAAACAGTGGTGAGCTCCTTCTTACCTGTACTGGGTGGAGGGATAAAGGGAAATGTGAGCAGAGAGGTTGGTAGGGACCAGTTCACGGCCAGCCTTCTCTGTCATGTTAGGAAGCCTACATTTATTGTGAGCTACCGAGAATCACCCTGATTCAGGGGAGCGACATGATCCTTGGCGGTTGAAAGATCATACTGGTAACAGTGTGCAAACTGAACAGAGGGGAATAAGAGACCGCTGGTGGGTTATGAAAGCTTTTGCAGTTATTGAAGCCCGGAGACTAAGCTCACCAAAGGTAATTAAGAAGAAGAAAAGCCAGAGCCTGTGCTTCACAGGACAGAAAAGAGGAAAGAAAAAAGTGATAGGGACCCAGGCCTTTCTTATTACAGCTGCATTTTATATGCTGAGATGGCCAAATCATGTAGGACTTAACATGCTACTTTAGAGCCTTATGTGTAGCTACTCTTAAGGCAAATAAGTGAAGATTAAGTATGACCATTTATTGGTATTATGTTAAAAGCTACCATTACATTTTTTTTTTTAAGATTTATTTATTTGAGGGAGAGAGAGCTTGAGCGGGAGGGGCAGAGGGAGAAGGAGAGAGAATCTCAAGCAGACTCTGACAAGCACAGAGCCCAACATGGGACTCAATCTCATGACCCTGAGATCATGACCCAAGCTGAAACCAACCGACTGCACCACCCAGACGCCAACCATTACGTCATTTAAGAGACATATAGGGATGGTAATGGATTAATAACATAAGGGTTTGTCTATTCAATTTAATAAATGACTTGGCTGTCACAATATTAAAGGAAAAAAAACAATCATAGTCCTTCATCAGTGACAATGGAACTCTGATTCCTGTTGATCTGTTTGGCCAGATTCAGGGAGAGACCTGCAGAATGGCAGTTAAGTGCACTACCTGCCAACTGTGCTTAGGCCTACAGATCTCCATTTCCATGTGTGTATACAGAATATCACCCCTTTACATGTTTTCCCAAGAAATCCCAACCACGTCATTACTGAGATTTGTGGGGCCAACTGAGCATCATACCACACAATAGTCCTCCCTCTATATCCCTGTCTCTCATATACCCACACACTTCTTACCAACACTTTTGCCCTTTCTAGTCCCTCCTGTTACTAGATTTTTTTCTTTTTCTTCTCTACCTTTATTTTAGCTCCTGTCTTCTTTGCACCTCCCAGATTCTGCCTTGATCCCCTAACCCTGCCCCAGAACACCATTTTCAAACTTTTCAGCCTTTTATTATCAAGAAGAATTTAATTACCATTTTTCATTTCCTAGTATGTCCTTTGGAAGATGCCCATAGTCTCACCCCAAGGGATTTACCAGTGCACTTCCCCAGCAATCAAAGGCATGTTGCCCTATTTCTTTGAACAAGCTCCAACAATATATCCTTAAACATTTTTATTACCCCAGCAGCATTGTAGAAGCAAGGAAGAGGGATGGGAAGAGAAAGCAAGAAAGAGAAGTAAGGGAGAGAATTAATATAGGGAGCCAAAATATAAAATATGCAGTTCCATCTTCCAGGGGGAAGTCATCACTCATCAGTCTGCTCTTGCATATATTCTGAACATTTTTTCTTCGTTATCATGAAATTCAACAATTTTTTTTCCCAATTTATCCCAAACCAGCCCCGTTTGAGGGGATGCTGTTTGGGATCCTGTCTTTTTTTTTTTTTTTTAAGATTTTATTTATTTATTCATGAGAGACAGAGATTGAGAGAGAGAGAGAGAGAGAGAGAGAGAGAGGCAGAGAAACAGGCAGAGGGAGAAGCAGGCTCCATGCAGGGAGCCCAATATGGGACTCGATCCCTCAACTCCGGGATCATGCCCCGAGCCAAAGGCAGATGCTCAACCGCTGAGCCACCCAGGTGTCCCTGGGATCCTGTCTTGATCACAGCCTTCCCACTCAACTTTCAGAGGCTGCATATACTCTCCTGTTGTACGATGAGCTGCTGGAATGGTCCGATCGGCCCCTCCGGGAGTTCCTGACCTACCCCATGCAAACAGAATGGCAGCGAAAGGAGCACCTACACCTTGCCATCATCCAGAATTTTGACCGAGGCAAAGTACGTAGCCCTACCCCGCCCCCTCCATGGCCTCTCTCAAGGTGGTTGTGTGGGTGGCATGTGTCCTTTCATTTAGTTTTTTGATGCCCACCTCCTCAAGCCAGGCACCCTCAGGTTTTAATGTGCATTGAAAACACCTAAGAGTCTGTTAAAATTCCCAGGTCCCACCTCTAGACATTCTGATTAGGTCTGTCTGGCATAAGCAGGGGATTTTGTGACTTTAACAAGGACTTCAGGAGATTCCAGTGTGTGCAAACTTGGGGCCATATTTTGAAAAACACTGGTCCAGAGGTTTTAACACCAGGTATTTTATTTTCTGGAAAATCATTACCACCCTCACCCACCTCCCCAAATCGGCATGTGTTTTGCCCCATTTCACTTTCTTTGTAAGGCAAAATAAATGAAACTCACGTTGTTTAAAGAATATTATGGCATCCCATCATATACTTAAGAGATGCCATGGGGTATGGGAAAACCTCACTGAGCTAATAATGATGCCATTCAGCCCATTACTTCACCTCCCCACCCATCTCCCTCTTCAAGGGCTTGCTGTGCCCTTTAGGAAAACTTATGAATCCAACCACAGTTGTTTATTTGATTTGAACATTTGGCTGCTTTGATGATACCTGTCTTAGATTTAAATATAGCTCCCCAAATGCCAAGGTTAAACAGGAGACTAAAATACAAACAGTGGCTGTCGTTCTTTTACAAAACATAATTGCATAATTTGATGCAAGGGAATTGCCTCTTTGCAATCCTCCTTTATTATTTATCTAAATACACTGACATATCATTTTTAACATTAATAGTAAGGAAACGCCTTCGTATCCTCCATTGGTAAAGTTTCCATCTTTAGGATAAGTTGTCATTAAATCTCTATCTGCTTACCTTGGCCCTTCCAAAGGTTTTTTGCTAGATTGGGGGTTACAAACCATGGCCCTTGGATCAACTGGCTCACCATCCATTTCTGTATCGCCCACATTCCAAGAATTGCTTTTATATTTTTGAGTGTTTGAAAGATACCACAAGAAAAAGAATATCTGACAGATGAAAATTTCATGAAATTCACATTTTGATGTCCCTAGATGATAGTTTTATTGCAACACAGACAAGTTTATTCATTGTGGCTGCTTTTGTGCCTTAATGGCTGAGTTGAGTAGCTGTGACATAGACTGTATGGCCACAAAGCCTGAGTTATGTACTGTCTGGCCTTTTGTAGAAAAAGTTTGCTGACACTTGGGCTAGACGAAAGAATTTTTGCATTTCTGCTGATAGCAACCAGCTGGGTTAGATCCTCACAATTTACAAGTGCAATTGAGCCAAGCACGGCATCCAGCATGCCAGCTGTGGATAATTGGGCCTTAGGGGTCAGTGGTAATTCCCTCCTTAGCACCGAGGGCCTATTTATTCATGTACTTGGCCATTGTGGAACTGTAGTTATTTCAAGATGATGATTCTGAAATGACACCAGAAAATGTTTCCGCACCATATGTTAATGCCTGTTGTAGTGGATTATATTTTCTCGCTTCCTAAAGATTTTTAATAATTTACATGCTGATTGCATGCTGTGATCAAGCTTAAAGTGGCAGTGACCCTATTAAAGGTAGAATATAAAGATGAAGAAATAAGGCTTGATGATCTGAAAGCAGTCCCACCCTGACCTCTGGGTGGGAATAAGTAGATGTGGGATCGTAAGCATTTATATCATTCATTTGTCCACAGTGTTGGGAGAACGGTATCATCTTGTGCCGGAAGATTGCAGAGCAGTACGAGAGTTATTACGACTACAGAAACCTGAGCAAGATGAGGGTAAGGCACCCGGGTGCATGCTAATCAGCCTAAGGCATCCTTTTTTCACTCACTTTCCTGTATCGTTCCATAAAAACTAACTTTGTGATCATCTCGACCTGTCTTGCTTTTGAAAGAGAAGTCTTGCCTCTGAAGCATGCTCAGCTATTTATACAGACAAATAGCAAATGCTTTTAGTTAGTACGCAAAAGTGAGCCTTGGATCTCTTCTAAACATCACCTCTGGAATACACAATCTAATCACGATTAATTCTTTTGGTTTATTGAAGAAAAATCTCCCCACTGTTTGAAGAGCTTCTCACCTGTACGCAGAGCTCTGCAACAACATACCATTCTTAGTTTCGTAATCTGCACCGCAAAACAGTAGACATGGCGTGCTGACCCATTTGGAACTATTTCGGGGCTAAATTCTGTCGGTGTCATCCCTTTAGCTTCAGCAATATGTTTTATTTGCTAAACCTGAACCAAGGTCTTAGTACCCATGAGCTCGAAGAGTTCAATATTCTGTATCCCTGAACCAAATGTTTTGTCCCTTCTTTTCTTTTTAGGTTCAAATGGGCCCCTCGTGCACCCTGAGTCCTTACTCTTCAGAGCCATGAGCATTTTGTGTCATCTCATAACACTTAAGCTCTGCAGGGTTTCTGAAGTAGGGAGAAGATTATGATGTTACCTTTTAATTCTGAGGTAGCAGTTTAAGAGATGATATCGTCAACCCTTAACAGCTCGTAAAATCCCATGCCCCACAAGTAACTCATCCAGCCTGCGGGAACTGGTCCTGTACTGCTGGCGTAGTATTTCATGCCAGTGGTTCATCGATGTTTCTCCTAACATGAAAACCAAAGAGAAAAAACCTTGTTTTAACTTCAGTCCATCATGCTGGCCCTGGCAGGCCCTGCAGTTTTATATAAAAACATTGCTGTGCTTCTCTTGGCATACTGTCCCTGTGACAGAAGTGAGGTTACAGTGTTTACCCGGGAGAGCCCTTGGGTACCATAGTCACTCGGATTTTTATAAACCCAAAGCATTACACTTCACGCCAACTGCTCTTTGGGGTGCTGTTACTAGGGGCAGGGGGAGGGGGAGAAGTTTTCAAGTGCAATATTAGTCTTTCTCTATAAACCCTGGGGATGATAATACCATGAATGGAAAACCATAAGCTTTATGTGCTTCATAATGCCAACATTGTCAGAGACACACTTAAGGGCTTTCAGCCCAGACAGCACTTTGCACTATGGGTCTCCTTTGGTTTGGTTTATCCCTGTACAAGGTTGCACCCTCCAAATGTCCTGAATTACTGTGACCAAGGAGAACCAGATCCACAGGTGTGGTACCTTTGGCACTAGAATCTTCCAGAAAGATCCGGCCTCTAATCATTCTTTCCTTTTCTTTTCATTTTTGTTGATTTTTATTTAATTGTGAAGAAAATATCTTTTTGAGAGACTTTGTGCATAGAAATTATTTTCTCTGGTGAGAACATGTGGTAAAATTGTTCCTTTAAAAACAGGGTCAACAAACGGAGCCTGTGGACATCACAGGACTGAGTAGTAGTGACATGGACCAAATGGCCTGCAAAGCCTAGACTCTTTGTTCTCTGGCCATTTACAGAACCAGTTTGCTGATCCCCACCTTAAAGCACAGAAAGGGAGTGAAACCTTCTTTTCTGCAAACTGGAAACTACAATGAAGTTCTCGTTTATAGAAAAGAAATATCCTCTTCCATAAATAGGGAGAGCTGAAGGGTGAGATAAAATTATTGGAACATCTCCTTTGCTTTCCAGATGATGGAAGCCTCTTTGTATGATAAAATCATGGACCAGCAACGCCTTGAACCAGAGTTCTTCAGAGTTGGATTTTATGGGAAGAAATTTCCATTTTTCTTAAGAGTAAGTTAATGCACTATTTAACTTGTTGTTATACCTTCAGTATAGATATCCCAGTCAAGAAAACTAAGATGCTAATGTCCTTTTAGGACAATAACGTCATAAGATTTAACTTTTTAGTTTGCAGACACTATATTAAATCTAGAATACCTTGTTTTGAATAATTTCCCAAGGTATCAAACAATTATTTGATTTTTCTTCCTAAATTTCTTTTTTTTTTCTTTTTTAAAGATTTTATCTATTCATAGAGACACAGAGAAAGAGAGAGAGAGAGAGAGAGGCAGAGACACAGGCAGAGGGAGAAGCAGGCTCCATGAAGGGGGCCTGACGTGGGACTTGATCCCGGGACTCCAGGATCACACTCTGGATCAAATGCAACGCTAAACTGCTGAGGCACCCAGGGATCCCCTGCAGATTCCCTTTTAACCCAACAAGGAGATTTTTATGTCATGTCTACATGGCATCAAAGCATATGGTCATTTCAGTCAACCTGTCATTTGAGTGTTTGCTCTATGTAAGACTAAAATGAATTTTTGCCTATGACGTTTGGATATTTTGGAATCTATGTCTATATTTAGCATATACGTATAGAGATAAACTTCATATGTAAATATATAAATAAGGAAATACATATAAAACTTTCATTCTAAAAGTTGATAAGTTGATGATTATTAAACAAACAATGAAGCCCAGTCTTTCTCCTCTCCCTTCTCCTTCAAGGGTCCCCATCCTATATTTATTCGTATTGTGTTGGCAGTTAAAGCAAGATGCAGAGCAACACAGATACTGAAGTATTTGTATGCTGAGATTTAAAGTTTGTCATGAATTCGCTCAATTTTTAAATTACTCCAGATACTTCTCCTTCATAACTTGTTTTTATATTAGTATAAGTAAGATGTGTCTCTCGTGAATAAATAAAATCTTTTTATAAATAAATAAATTAAATAAATAAATAAATAAGTAAATAAATAAATAAATAAATAAATAAGGGAATCTGCATGGTCATGGTGTGTGACATGGTCACAAAGCTGATTCTTCAGGTGGACCTAAGGACAGAAGAAAGCTTGATTCTGGATCAAAAATAGAGACAGGTTTAGAACACTTGCTGACTTTGAAGACTAAATTTTGAAAGTGGACGTACTAGGCCCGGACTGTCATCAGCAACCCCCACCAAGAATGCATGGCCAGGATCTAGGTAGTGAGTAGAAGAGAGACAATCTAGCACACAGAGAGAGGGCTGGAGACCCCACAGGAGGGTACAGACATAACTCTGGTGCAGCAGATGCCCTTCCTCTCTTGGCTCAAAATGAAGCAAAGCAAAAGATTACTTTTTCTTCCACATCATACTCAGGACTAATCAATCTATTACATATAGTGGGTATAATGTTTACAAATCATAATATTACCTACCAAAGTATTTTAATTTTTTTTAAAGATTAGAAGAAAAAAGTGAGTTTTTTTTTTGTTGAAGGAAATGTTATATATTAAATTGTATCTGATACACTAGATTATCGTGTATTCATTTGTCCCTATGCCAAATCAGTCTCTCAGTATGATTTTTAATCCTTTTTTATAGAGGAAGGAGCCCACAAAAGTCATATTGTGGCCCTGCTCAAATTCTGAATTCAGCTGCAAGTACACTATAAACTACTCTAGATGCTTATCTAATAAATGAAACCATGATAAAAGTGTAAAGTTTTTTTAAAGTCAGAAATTTAGGAGCCACAATTTTAAAGGGAATTTAGCAAATTAGAAAACAGAATTGGCTAATAAGAAAAAATTGTTAGAAAATCAATTAGAAGGATGCCTGGGTGGCTCAGTGGTTGAGCATCTATCTGCCTTTGGTTCAGGTCATGATCCTGGGGTCCTGGGATCAAGTTCCGCATTGAGTTTCCCACAGGGAGCCTGCCTCTCTCTCTGCCTATGTCTCTGCCTCTCTCTGTGTCTCTCATGAATAAATAAATAAAATCTTCTAAAAAAGTCAATTAGAATAAATCAACCTATGTTATTAGTCTTTTCAAAACAGCTTTCCTAGATAAAAATAGCATTTTCTTCAAAGTGAAAGTGAAGGGTCACCCTCTATTGGTTTCTAAGGGGCACCGCACCCTTCAGAATCACAGGGCTGGACCTCTTTTTAGGAAATCAGATTCTAGTCTGTCCTTCAATTTAAAAACAAGCAAATATCAACATTAAAAATTCCCTTATTGATCAATTTCAAGATAATTTTTCAAGCTGCAATAAATTAATACATTTATATAAGTGTATGATCTAAGTTGATTGGTTTTTTTTTTTTGGTTTTTTTTTTGTTGTTGTTGTTTTGGTTTTTTTTTACCCTCATGAAAAATGGCTTCTTTATTGACAATTTCTTTAGGCACAGAATACCTCTGAGTACTGATTTGTTGGGGAAGAATGACCAAGGTCAAGAATGGGAGAGAGATTTATTTTTCATTGTATGCCCTGTACTGTTTGGGATTTTTCTTTAATCCATAGATATATATTTCCTTTTCAAAAGAAAAAGATAATAAAAAAAATTTTAAGTATTGACAAATGTGACCCAGCAGTTCCATTCCTAGGTATATACTTAAGAGAATTGAAAACATATGTCTACACAAAGACCTATACGCAAATGTTCATAGCAGCATTATTCACTATTGCCAAAAAGTGGAAGCAGCCCAAATATCCATCAACTGGTGAATGGATAAACAACATCAACATATGGTATATCCACACAGTGGAATATTTAGCAGTAGGAAAGGAATGAAGTACTGAAATATGCTACACAGTGGGTGAACTTTAAGCATATCATGTTAATTGAAAAAGCCAGTCACAAAAGACCACATGGTATATGATTCCATGTATATGAAATGTCAGAAGAGGCAAATCCATAGAAACAGAAAGTAGAGGAGTGGTCGCCAGAGGCTGGGGCGATGGGAAGGGAAACGGAGTGACTGTTAGAGGGTATGAGTTTCTCTTCAGGGTAACAAAAATGTTCTCACATTTGACCGTGGTGATAGTTGATATACTGAAAACCTTCAAAAGGGTGTATTTTGTGGTACATGAACTATATCTCAAAGCTGTGATGAAAAAAATGGATTGATGGGGGCAATGCTTAACTCCCTTTTCTTTCTTTTTTTTTTTTAAGATTTTATTTATTTATTCATGAGAGATATAAAGAGAGGGGCAGAGACACAGGCAGAGGGAGAAGCAGGCTCCATGCAGGGAGCCTGACGTGGGACTTGATCCCGGGTCTCCAGGATCACACCCTGGGCTGAAGGTGGCACTAAACCCCTGAGCCACCCGGGCTGCCCTCCTTTTTATTTCTTGACAACTCCAATACCAGACTCCAAATTCATTTTTATTTCAGAATGCCTTAACACTGTTGACTGATTATATGCTTAGAATAACCCCTGAGTTTACAAACTGCTGTAATACACAAGATTGCAGTTATTAGAGCCCTCAGATATTTATTTTAGGACTTCTGTGATATGCAGGAATATATATATACATACATACATATATATATATATATAGTCTTATCAAGCAAGTTTATTATCTTTTGAGTAGAGTAAAAAGCACATAGCATCAGAAGGTATACCTTCTTTTACCTAGAAAATATTAAACACGGGATCGTCTGGGGGGCCTGACATCTACGTAGTCCGTCTTAGCCTGTGTCACCAAAGGATCGTGCCTGGTTTCCGGGGCCCAGGCCCGGCTGTCTCCTCTGCCTGCCGCTGCCTTTTCTCAGCCGCAGCCCTGAGCCCCCTGCCCTGCTCAGGGTTTCGAATTCCTCCGGTGGTGGCTCTGATTTCTTCTTGGGGGCAGTTTTGTGCAACAGAGGAACCTCATCAAGCGGAGGAATGCTGAGAACATTGGACCTTAGCAAGCTCTCCCAGACCTCGAACGTCTCCCTCTTTCTCTGAGAAGATCTTCAGGGCATGTCACCCACAACACCACCTTTCGTGGTCTCGGTAGCAAGTAGGAGTTTTTTCCTGGATGTACTGGCCGCGTTCAGCAGAGCCCGAGCTCAGGCCTTGGTCCCACCCCTGAGCTCGAATGCGGCGCAGGCGGACAGAGTGCGTGGGGATCCTGGGGATCCTGAACCTCGGTCCCAGCTCTACAGTGGGTGCCACGCGGGAGCCAGCTACCCCTTAGTAGGTTAAATAAGTTACGTGCAGAGTGTCAGTTTCTTGTCCACAGTGAACTTGATAACCATCAAAGTGGCAGAGTTCCCTCTTACCTAACCTGACCAGTGCGGGGCTTTCCAGAAACCCTGCCCACCTTCCCAGCTCTCGGGCCTACTTCAAGGATAACCTTCATTTTTCCGGAATGAGAGACAGTCCCAGGCCACAGAATACTTGTACACCTTGTAAAACAGAACAGACAAACCAAAAAAAAAAAAAAAGAAAAAGAAAAAAATGTGTCCACCATTTGGCAAGTCCCTAAAAATCCTAAATCTCAGTTTGGGCCCGTAAATAAGACCCTTGGCTACAGGAAGCCGTGCTGAGTTGGTGATGGCAGAGAAGCTTCCTGGGCCAGCCGTGCTGAGAGCAGGAACACAAACAGGCGCAGCCTTCCTTTTTTCCATGCCGGGATCCGGAGTTGAGGCTGATCTCTGTGGCTGTTACAAAGGATGCAGCAAAATGCATTTTTGAAGATTGCATTTACTTTCTTTTTTTCCATATTGAGAATGTATCCCCTAAACTCTGATACCTAGCTTATTTAAAAAAACAAAACAACTTTACCACGTGCTTGTTAGCGCTCAGGGGGACACGATTGCCTTGTTTTGAATCTTGGTGCTCTGAGAATCAGATGCCTCTTTGTCCCCAACACACTGACACTAAGAATGGCACACTGCGTCCGGGTCTGAAGCTCACGATCCTTGCCCTGCATTCTCCATATGTGGGCAGATTTTTCAGACTGTTTTTGGGGTTTTGTGTTATAGTGTATGGAGGTGAGGCATACGTTCACTCATTGCCAGTGTCCTCTCTTTTTGGCTTCTCTGTGTAATTAATGCACTCAATTACATGGCTCTCTTTTCTTTTTTTTTATTTCACCTCCAGAATAAGGAGTTTGTGTGTCGAGGGCATGACTACGAAAGGCTGGAGGCCTTCCAACAGAGAATGCTGAATGAGTTCCCCCACGCCATCGCCATGCAGCATGCCAACCAGCCCGACGAGACCATCTTCCAGGCGGAAGCTCAGTGTATCCACACCTAGATCCACTGGCCATTAGCTGCAGAGCACTTTTGTGCCAGGTTGTTTAGCCTCTGGCCCCTTTGCAATAGCCATGTTCTTACTTTCTCTCCTTCCCTTCATCTTGATTTTTAGCTTAGTTCCTTCCAAACAGCATTGTTCTAGTTATTATCACAATGTCCGATGAAAGGAAATCCCTTAAGGATTCTGGTTAAGATTTTTTTTTTCCTTTCAATTAAAACTTTTCTATCTCAGCCCTGCTTTTAAAGCTCCTTTTAGTGATTTCCCTTAGAATAACTTTCCTCCAACATATCCTGTGGAAACCGCTTCGGTTGAAGAAAACGATAGCATCATATTTACTGGCATATGCCATTCAGCCCCTTTTCCCTTTTTATTTTTATTCTGGAAGGAAGCGCAGGGAAGGAGGTGCCTTAGTATCTTTGGGGGACTCTTAGCCATGGCATCCTGGACAGCCTTTGATGATTGCTGTGTAATTGACACTCTCATGGTCTTAAAATACGAACAATTCAACTGAAATTACCCAGGCCCTAGAGACAAACGGAATTCACCCCTTGTGAATGTTTCTGCCTCTTCCTAAAACTTACGATCTTTAAGGAGACAAGAAGCTCCCACTGATAATCATGGATACCATTTCAAAGTAGAAAATAAAATGCAACAGAAGCAAGACTTTACATCAGGGAAAAGATTTTGCTATCCTTCTTTGAATGAGAAGAGAAGAAGGTAACTATACTAGTAAATATGATACCCTTTAATGTAATTTTAAAAATATCATCTACAACAACACTCTGCTAATCAGTACAAGATTTGGGAGAGTGATACCCCAAGTGTGGGAAGGCTGGAGACACAGAGCATCACACAGGTAAATATAAATCACTGTCAGAACTGGTTTCTGTCTTTGGCCACGGTTGCATGGATCTTTATACATTATTTTACAAACATTAATTAAGAGGGGCCATGCATGGACTAAAGAGAAGAGTGTCTCTTAAATGAGGATTAGGATTAATACGATTCTGAGTACCTAAGATCCAAGCCCTTCCCACCCACCCCCACCAAAACACCAAAAAGAGGAAAAAGGAAAAAAAAAAATCAGTGATACATAAATTCATGAATTATTTTAATCAGGTACTTAGAATCACCTCCCTAAACCTAGTGCAAGGCCTGTAGTTTGAGAAATGGTTTGTTGTCAATTGAGTTCTTGGCGCCTTCTTGGCAATTTTTTTAAATGACTTTGACCCAACGGAAGCACCAGATTGTTACCCATCCTCTGCTCTCTGCCACAGCGCAGCTCAAGCCAGATTTCTGTGGCGTTTGCCAAGTCAGGTTTCTTCCTTGACTTTTTAATCCTAGATTTGCAGATATATGCCGTGACTCCTATTCCGGAGAGCCAGGAGGTCCTGCAGAGAGAGGGTGTTCCGGACAACATCAAAAGTTTCTATAAAGTGAATCATATCTGGAAATTCCGCTATGACAGACCATTTCACAAAGGCACTAAAGATAAAGAGAATGAATTCAAGGTACCGTGCAGTTCTCATTACATACGGCTTCCTGTGAGCTTCTTGGGACAAGCCCCTGGATAAATACTTAGAGTCCAATAGGGGCATCTGGGTGGCTCAGTCAGTTAAGTACTTCAGCTCAGGTCATGATCCCAGAGCCCTGGGATGGAGCCCCGAGTCAGGCTCCCTGCTCGGTGGGGAGTCTGCTTCTCCCTCTGCCCCTCTCCCTGCTTGTGCTTGCTAGCTTGCTCGCTCTCTATCTCTCCATCTCTCCCTCTCCCCCTCTCTGTCAAATAAATAAATAAAATCTTAAAAAAAAAAAAAAAGAATGGAATCAAGTGATAGAACCAGAAGGGACCAGAAATCATTTAGTCTTGTTGATCTCAAACTCAACTGTATGAGTTGAGTGCCATGGGGTGCTTTCATAACCAGCCTTCTTAGCTCAGGAATCCTGCCTCAGTAGGTCTGAGAGGAAGGCCTGGGATCAGCTTCTTTGTGACAATGCTGGTGGTCCTCAGACCATGTCAAAGATGTCATGGTTGAGCCCAGTCCTGTCATTCCTTCATGCTGAACGAGTGGAGGGGACCTCAGGGTGTTCATTCTCAGAGACAGTAGTCAGTGGTGAGTAACGAATGCCTGACTGACAGGGAAGAGGAGCTTCTGAGACGGGGAACAACCAGGTAGACTGCTGGTACAGTGGAAGATTTCCGTGTGATCCTCTGCTTTTTCTTGTTAGGATGGGGTGTCACTAGGACTTCTGAGAAGACACAGAATGAAGGCGCCCCATAGACCCCTTGCCTGTGCTGTGAGCTGTCTGTTCCCACCAGCTGTAATACGCCTTGCTGTCTCTCGGGCTGTCACAGCCCCACTGGGGGGGGGGGTGCCACAGAGACATTATAATCTCTTCTTTTCTTGATAACAGTGAGACCAGATAGAGCCCCAGGTAGTCAGAACACAAAACAAACCCATTACTGTGGGCCAATCGGCTTAGCTTCTTTCATCACAGAGTCTCTACTTAAGCTGGGAAACGTTCTCCTAACACGATTAGCGTTGACGGCGTGATGTTAAGTTGCCTTGTGGCCTCCGTCTGCCCAAGTGTCCGTTCCCAGTGCCCACAGCAGTGGCTCCGGGATCGGACCCGGCCCGGTGATCGCAACGGGAAGCTGAGGTTGGGCCGCAGTGTCACGATGGGCCTCACACCGAGCAGTCCTCTGTGCCAGGAGGCTGACGGGTTACGTATCAAGGCAAAGAACTGTTGGAAGAGACGGTCCTGGGATGTCACTGAGAAAACCCACCATTATTTTCTAGTCCTTTTGGATACTTCCATTTTTCTTTGTGTCCCACAAAACCAATTAGCGATCGTTAGTTTGTGATGTAGTTTCGGCTGCAGGTGTTTTCACTGAATGCCAAGTCTGAGAGATCCCCCAGAGTCAGGCAGTCGACTTGCTCAAAGTCACGTCCTAACGACCCGGAGCCCCAACACGACCACCCACACCTTCTAGTACCTTCTCTGCACCGCAGTTCCTCGTGGCCATCACTTTAAGTATTGTCAGTGGGATGGCAGTCCCCCCAGAAAAATGATAAGAAATCTGGCTCCTCATGCCTGTGCATGCAGCGCTTGGCATCTGGCTCCAAGCTGCCCTTCCAGAAGCCTCATCAGTGCCACAGCCCACTCGCCTGCCCTCCTGGTGGGCTCCCCGACATTGAACTTCTCTCCCCCGTCTCCTGCTATGGGGCCTGTGCGGGCTGCTTCCCGCTGCCTCCCTCCCCGCCCTCCGCCTGGCAAACTCCTACTCGCTCGTCAGCAGCCCGCTCACGCGTCACCTCCTCTGAGCAGCACCGTCCTCCCCCCACCGGCCGTGTGCCTGCAGCCTCCTGCTCTCTCCCCGCACCTTGAACCTTCCCTCCTCTTGGCCCTGAGCCTTCCCTTCCCCGCCGACCTCCGGGCCACCGTCCCAGGGACCCTGCCCTATTGGTCTCAGTCTATCTTGGCCGACATGAAGAAATCCTTCCATTTTCTGTTGTTCTGGAATAAGTGGCACTGTTTCAGGGAGTTTGTCAAATTTATCATCCTCTTGAGAATGTACTTTGTTGAGGTAAGAGAAAGGAGGCATGCACACAGAAACGTGGTTGACAAAAGAGAAATCTGTCACCCGCAGCGGCTCCCATCAAGGCAGCTGTGGCTTCACGTGTCACGGGGGTGCCCTTCCTGGCCAGGGGAGCCTCGGCTCCTTAAATACAGATCCTCCTGGATGATGGCCTTTGAAATGGGCATGAGAAAATGTGGCCCAGTGAGGACGTCAGAAGTTCTAGGAGATAGGGTCTGTGCCGCTTCTACAGGAAACTAGAACATACCCCCAAGCAGGTCACCCCCCAGCACTGCCTCCTTGATGCTTAGCTTCTTCCTCTTTACAAGAGAAAGATGGAGCTACATGATTCCTCACGGACCTTTCCTCCTGTGTTGACTGGCTGATACTCTTCCCCCTTCTAGATAAAAATGGCAAGACCTTAAAGAGTGATGGGGGTTTACGTTGGAATTTGAAAGAACAGGCAAAGGAAATAACGTAGTGGCCTCTTGTTATATCTCAAGCTCGCTGTCTGAAGTAGATCATGTAGTCCACGCAGGAAAAAGTGTCTGACAACATAGAATGGAACTATTAACCCGGCCTCGGTGGCATCTTACTGTGATGGCTTCACGAGTGCCAAAGGATGGCCCACATGCTAGAGAGAAGCCTACAGAAATAAGCAAACCTGACCAAATTGAATGGCACACATTAGTCATAGCTCAGTAACTACAAAGAAGGGACACTTGGGGCCTTAATTTGTTTTGTATTCCGTAGAGTCTCTGGGTGGAGAGAACATCGCTGTACTTGGTGCAGAGTTTACCTGGAATTTCCCGCTGGTTTGAAGTGGAAAAGCGTGAAGTGGTAAGGATCAGAGCTTATTCTAAGGTACTTTCCCATCACAGTTGCTCACCGGGAGTCACGCCATAGATTCATTGCTTCTGCTGTTGACTCCAAGTCCCCGGAAGCGCATAAAGTTAGTGAATGTTAATGGTATTGACCCCTGTGTGGCCAAGGCTTGAAGGGGAGCGTTACTGTACTCCTAGTCTGGCCAGCGAGAGGCATTCCTCAAAAAGGACTCTGACTACAGCATGGGAACAACTCGGGTCCTTGAGTAAAAGATCCGGAATTCGAATTCCTGTAAGGCCAGAGGGAAGAGGTTCTCTACCTTGTCTTACTGACTCATCCTACCAAAACTATGAGGTATGTATCCCTACCCCTATTTTTGCAAGATTCAACAAGAAGTTAAAAGCCTTTGCCAGAGGTCTCACATCAAGACAATAAAAAAGGATAGATTCGAGCCCAGATTTTCCTGACCCGAAAGCCAATTCTATCCATGCCTTTTAGCTCAGTGTCCTTAGGGGCTGCAGGGGGTCTGGCGCAGAGCCCCAGCACCCTGTCTTCCTGTTGGCAGTAGAAGGGTTAGCCTCACTGAGCAGTCCCGGGTGAACACCAGCTAGAGACCAGCAGGTGGCATTCTAAAACCTGGAAACCAGCACCCCAGAACCCTTCAGGCTGTAAAACATGCTCCAGCTCTGGGCCCCAGTTCTGGAGCCGACAGCAGCTATATCCGGGTGAGACCTTGCCCTGGTGCCTCTGCCGCTCTTCAGGCTCGCAGCACCTCATGGCAGCCCTGCACCCAAGCCGCAGCCCTTCTCCCTCCCTTGGGGCATCCATCGTGATCGAAGCCAGCCCTTTGATTGCCGTAGCCCTCTACCTGATAGAAAACCTGACAATTGTGAAAATATCATTTAACCCCTTTCTTATTTAGATGACAAGCCTACTCTGTCAGGGAGTAAGTAAGTAGCTCCTGCCCAAATCATCTTCCAAGAATGGCTTATCCAACCTGAAACTTCACTAAGCACTGAAACCACTCAGCTTATCATGGTCGATGAAGCTCAGGATTTAGGGGCATCTTCCCTTCACAGTGCTGAAAAGTCCACGTGGCTTCCGAAACAAATGGAACTCAGTTCAGTAGACTGCCTCAGTGTACTCGTCTTCTTGTAGGGTGTGAGTCAAGGGTGCCCAGAGCTGGTGGCCCACATAGTATACCCTGGTGCCTTCCACGGAAGAGGAGAGACTGCTCAACAGCGTCAGAAGGTCTTGTTATGCTTCCTGCTGAATGGCATTGCCCCAACCCACAGAATGTTCTTAGTCATCTAGCCCTGCATTAATGACTCAGAGATCCTTTTCATCTACTTACTACCCAGAGTGTTAAATTCTCTGAGGCCTTACCAATGGTCCTAACCTTTGAAATATAACCCCCTCCCCGTCACACACACACACACACACACGTACAAATAGGCATAAAAGTACCATGCTGATAATGATTAAAGAAGCGTTACAAAACACAACCTTTCAAACGTCAGCTGCCTACTTTATTAGAATATATATAATCTTACATTCTGTCAAACAGAACAAATTAAATTGGGCTACTTTGTTCCCTGAACACAGCCCACTCATAACAACCTTATGTCTTTCTCTTGTTCTTACTGCCTGGAATGTCCCCACCTTCTATTAAAGTTGCTGGTTAAAAAAATAACAATAATAAATAAATAAATAAACAAACAAACAAACAAACAAATAATAAAATAAAATAAAATAAAATAAAATAAAATAAAATAAAATAAAATAAAATAAAATAAAATAAAATAAAGTTGCTGGTTTACCGCTTCAGTTCATGGCATATAAGGTCCTCGAGATCAGGGGCATGTAGTAGGTACTAAATACATGTATCCCAACCTGAATTGAAATTCCTTATGTACAATGCCAAAACTTAAAAGATTCTCAAAACCAAAAGATGTTTTCATAAGCTCATCTCCAAAACTCAGTTTGGCAATAAGCCTGACCTGATCTGACGTAAGACCACTCATGATCTGTATTTCACTTAGTACAAATATTCCTATGTTTTACTGTGGAAATATTAATGCGTTTGGTTAAAGAGAGTCTCCCCAGACCTTTCTTGAGGATTATGTAATATGCTTCGAGCTATATATCACATTTCCAAAATTTGAAATTTTCTGAAATGTGAAGCATCTGGCACCAGAGGTGTTAAAGGAGACTGTGGGCCTTTACTCACTAAGTCATAACCCCAGAATATATTATCCTATTCTTTTGAAGATAACAATGCCTTTGAACTACTGTTTTCTTGGAAATTGCCTTTATTGTCTTGAGAACAAAAAAAATCTGTACTTTTTTTCTGATTAATAAAGTAAGCTCATTTAAAAAAAATTTAAACAAGATTTAAAAACTATAAAGGAAATGTATTATGAGGTTTTAAACGCCAACTACAGATAATGAGAATATTTTCACGTCATGTTATATTCATCAGGAAATCATGGGGCTCTCCTATCAGAATAAACGCAGAATCCAGCCACTCTTCGCCAGCCCCCACTAATAGCACCATCTAGCGTCTGGTTTCTGCAGTAGTGTCCTACCTAAGTGGTCATGTGCTTTTCCCTTAATCCCCTGCCATCACCTCTGTGCAGAGCACCCGGTGTCCCTTTTAAATTTAAGTTCTATCATACAAAAATAAAGAAAATATATATTGAACCTGATTTTCCCATCATTTTACTTAAACAGCCATCCAAAAGGCCAATATTGTTTTACCAGCACCTGTTTTATACTGGGTTATTGTAAAGTAAATCTCAGGCATCCTATCATTTCATCTATAAATAATCCAGTATGTGTATTAACAAAAAAATATCACCACAATATCATGCATCATCTCATCTAAAAAAAAATTAAGAGGAATTCCTTCACATAAAATATCAAGTCAGTGTTCACACTTCACCAAGGGTCTGTTTACTTTATGAGTTTTGTTTGGGTCTTTTTTTGGTCATTTGTTGTCTTTTTTATTTTTTTAAAGATTTTATTTATTTAGTCTTATTATTTATTTATTTTTTAATATTTCATTTAAATTCAATTTGCCAACATATAGTCGTTTGTTGTTTCAGTTCAGATCCAAATAAGGGCCATACGTTGCAGCTAGTTGAAATGTCTCCTAAAGTCTCTTTTGATCTATAGGTTCTCCTTGAATTGCTTTTTTTCCTTGCAATCTGCAGACTGAACCAGTGGGATAATTTAATGGGTTTCTTTGTCCCTATATTTTTTTGTAAATTGGCAATTAGGTTTAGGAGTTTGATAAGATACTGTTATTTTGAATTTTTCATTTTTATTTCTTTTGCAAGAGTACTTCATAGGGGATGTCACATGCTTCTGGTTGTCTCTCTTTTGTTGCTGAGTTGGCAGCCACTGATGATCATGGCTCCCAGCTACTGGGTGTCACAAAGTGGTGGTATCTTATCATTCCTTCTTTGTTTATTCATTGGAACACTTCTGCAGTGAGAAGCATTCTCTCATCAACTATACGAGTACCCTGAGGTATAGCAGGGGAAGGATAACACCTTATAAAAGTGACCACGGAAGTTCTTGTTTGGTTGGTTTTGTTTTTCGTATCATTGGTAATTCATGGATTTAAGCATGCTTAGTTTTTTTAAATCCATTGCAGTTATTGCTGTTATTAATTTTCAGGTTCCATTTTGCCCTTGGGAGCCTCTTCAGATCGACTTCTGAGTCTCTGATAGTATCCAGTAGTCGTTACTGAGCTGACACACAGGCCTGGATTGTCAAATCAGATGTGGGAATCGGCAGCAAGCTTGCCTAATAACTGTAACGCAATCAGGAGGCTCAGATGAAGCACAGAGACATCTGAGACCTCAAGCCTTATCTTCTAGATCCTTCTTCCCCACATCAATAATAATTTGAAATAGAGTCTTTAAGTGAGGCTCACAGGATTTCTCACGCAGGGGGCACATTTAAATTGTGAAATATTCCATTTTGTGCATCAGAGAGTTATAAAACTTTCCTGGGACATTCTGTAGGAAATCATGTCTTCAGGCAGAGTTCTAGGTTTTATTAGTATAAGCAATTCTTTAGCTGAGGACACAGATACCATCTCTTCCTCCTAGTAATTAGTCTTAATCTATTTACTTGAAGGTTCAATTGACAAGGGGATAAGACCCTCTCACCTGCCGCCTTTTCTATTCCCCAAAGATATGCCTCCATTAAAGAGAGTGAAGGGTCACAGGCCAGCTGCTTTAATGCCCTCCTCCCAGCTGCCTTCCTGGCTTACTGGGATGACTTAGGTACTCCATGCTCAGTTATACATGCTCTGCCCCAGACCTTAAAGCAACCATTTCTCCAATGACTCCTGCTGCTTTGTAGTGGTAAACGGTATTTAAAGATCACAGGCTGGGGGCTAGCAGAAAACAGTCCCTTGATGAACATTTTTTACACAATATTCTTTGCACACTTCTTTGACCATCTCCCTAGGAAAATTTCCTTGGGGGTGAAACGATCTATCAAAGAGTCCATAGATTAACCTTTGATTCACGGACCAACAACAGCATATTACCAACTTATATCTTGTCTGGCGGGAATAACTGTTCTTGGGAATACCCAGTTTCCCAGCATCCTCTCCAACCCTGGGCACAACAGGGTTGTGTTATTTAAATCTTTCCAAATAACAGATCATAAGTGATCATACTAGGGTTGATTTTTTTTTTTTTTTGGCATTTGTTGAATACTGGAGGAGATGATATGTTTTTGTATTATTTACTTGTTTCTCTTTATTTTGTGAATGCACTGGTTATATCCTATGTCTGATTTTCTTCAGTATTTGAGAAATATCAATAATTAGGAATATTTGTGGAAACATTTCCTGAAGTTATTATTTATCTTTGGTCTGTGTTGCATTTTATTTACTTTTTAAGTATTCATATTAACAGTATTTTTTTTAATTTTATTTATTTATGATAGTCACACAGGGAGAGAGAGAGAGAGAGAGAGGCAGTGACACAGGCAGAGGGAGAAGCAGGCTCCATGCACCGGGAGCCCGACGTGGGATTTGATCCCGGGTCTCCAGGATCGCGCCCTGGGCCAAAGGCAGGCGCCAAACCGCTGCGCCACCCAGGGATCCCATATTAACAGTATTTGAATCTATAGAGATGAGCTGATTTTTTTTCTCCATCAGCCAAAACACATATAAAATTTTCCATCTTAACTATTTTTAAGTGTACGGTACAACAGTGTTAACTATGTGGGCATTGTTATGCAACGGACCAGTTTCATCTCCCAAAACGAAAACTCTGAATCCTTTGAACATTTCCTCTTTTCCCCCTCGCTGGCCCCTAGCAACCACTGTTGTACTTCCTAAGACGTCTTACTTTTTAACTTTCCATCCATCAGACTTTTCCTTTATAGTTTAGCTTTTGTGATTATAAGACAAAGGTTTATTGTCATAAATAGTGTCATAAATACCCACCAACCAGCACTCAGTCAAGAAACAGAACATTGCCAGGAGCACCCCAGAAGCTTCCCATGTCCTCTCTCCAGTTGCAACTCGCTCCCTTTCCTTTCCCTTACAGGTCAGTGCTATCCTCACTTAAGCGGTATCCATTCCCTTGCTTGGTTGATCATCTAAGTTTGTTTCCCCAAAACAAGTCAGTTTCCTTTTGCCTGATTTTGAACTGTATCTAACAGTGTCATAGTGTGTATATTCTATTATAATTTGGTTCTGTTACTCAGTACTATTGTAACGTTAGTCCATGGTATTACCTGTGACTGACCTTTGCATTGCTGTGTCCCATCCCATGGTGTGAACCTACCACAGTATGCTTATGCATTCTCTTATCAGCGAACATAGAGATTTTTGAGACACTTATGACCATTTTTCTTATGTTTCTTATGTTTCTTCACATACATGTACACACATCTCCTACTCCGCTTTTTTCTCAGATATATGCCTGCAGAGAACTGCATGTAGGACCGTAATGTATAATAAAGAGCTCTTTAACTTTAGTGGATAATGCCAGATTGTTTTACAAAGTGATTGAAACAATTTGAACTTCCAACAGCCGAAATCGAGAGAGTCTAGCAAGTACTTTCTCATCCTTGTTTGCTCTTGTCCTATTTATTTTTGCCATTTGGTGGGTGCTTAGTAGTGTATTACTGTGGTATTGTTTTTCACATTGTTGATCAAGTGAGGTTCAACACCGTTTCATATATTTATTGGCCATTTGGATTTCTTCCTTTGTAAAGTGCCTATAGAAGTCTTTAGCCCAATTTTTATTGGGTTACTTGCTTTTTTCTTATTGGTTTATAAGAGTTCTTTATATATTCTGGACAAAGGCTCTTTGATGGCATTATATGTTATTAATATTTTCTCCTTTCTGGCTTATCTTTCCTTCTCTTTATAGTGTCTCTTGAAGAACGTATAATCTTAATTTTGACATAGTCAAATTATTCTAGTACTTTTCAGTGTTGTTTTAAGACGATGTAAGTGACCTTTAAAAATCTAATTTGTTTCCTTAACTGAAAAAAACAATATTTAAATGTGCTTATTGTAAGCTTGAATTATTTTACGGCTAAGAGCTTGGCAGACCTTCACTTCAAAAAGAATGTCAATGACAATAATGGCCACAATGTTTAACATCTGAAGAACACTTTCATCATTTTCACAGTCAGGTCGCCCATATAACCTAGAATTTTTAAGTCATTATAATTCTGTTTGGCTCTCCTTCAACAAATAGATCCTGCAGCATATATGATTATCTTATTTTCTGTAACTCCCAACTGAGTACCATCCTGTGCCACCTTATGGTGCTGATATATATGCATATGGGGTCCATATGGGCATATGTCCCATCTTCCCAACTGGGCTGAAAGCTCCTTGACATCAGAGGATTTGTAAATGCATCTTTGTATCTCCTGTGGTGCTCTTCATTAAGTAAGCAACTAAAAAGGTGATAATAACATGCAGGGCCCCTGAATACTTAACCCTTCATAAGAAAAGAAAAATGAGTTTAAATAGACATGAGATCGAGTTTTCGTTTAAGGATTACATGGCTTGTTGCAGTACTAATATATAATTGATGATTGCTGATTACCCAAACCTCATTTCAACCAGTTGGTATAATCACCTTCACTTTCCAGAACTCTGAATGCACAGTTCATTTGTCTTCCACATGCATGTCTATTCTACTGTATGGCCCCCCGGTAGAGATATTGATGGGGGCCAAGGGGGAGCACAGATCATTCAGAACATGGACAATCTATTTTCTTCTTGAATGTCACAAAATCCAAAATGTGGTTTATTCTCATTTGCTTCTCAGGTAGAAATGAGTCCTCTGGAGAATGCAATTGAAGTATTGGAAAATAAAAATCAGCAGCTGAAGACTCTGATTAGTCAGTGTCAGACAAGACAGATGCAGAATATCAATCCCTTGACCATGTGCCTGAATGGAGTTATAGATGCTGCGGTGAATGGCGGGGTTTCCAGGTATCAAGAGGTGAGGATTCAGTGTTGTTGTTTGAAAGTTTTTAAATGGGGGCAGCTGGGTGGCCCAGTGAGTTGTGTCTGCCTTCTGCTCAGGTCATGATCCCAGGGTCCTGGAATCAAGCCCTCTGTGGGGCTCCCTGTTCAGTGGGGAGCCTGCTTCTCCCTCTCCCACTGCCTCTTCCCCCTGCTTGTGCTCTCTTTTGCTTATCTCTCTTTCTCTCTCTCTAATAAATAAAATCTTAAAGTTTTTAAGTGTGATTTCTTAGGGGTTCAGAAGTCTTTTTTCAAAATATGTACAAATTGCCACATGCTAATATAGGGCTCCCACTGATACAGAGTTCTTTGTTAAGTAGAGCAAACAGTCATTTGCGATGCACACTTACTCCATTTTCCTATATGTGATATTTTGAGGACAAAATGTGTGTGTGTGTGTGTGTGTGTGTGTGTGTTCTTGGATGAATAAAGGTTATCAAGATTGTTGAATAAATGTCTACCTAAAACCAGTTCCCTGACCAAAGAGGTTCCCGGGCATAGAAAAATCTGATCTTGTTTAGAAGATCTTTAAGTGGACTTTTCATCTGCCCTTGTGGTTTTAAACAGAAAAGCACAACAGCTTGGAAGGTGAGGCCACAATTTTAGTCATACTGACTCTTCAAGCACTTTATTTTTTGATATAAAGCTTATTGATTTGGATTTGCTACTTGCTTGCTATATCAAAGACACTTATTTACATAATTTCTGCTCTCCCTTAAACAATCCTTTCCTTATAGGCCCTTTCTGACCAGCTGTCCATAGTAGGAGTAATTCCTTCTGCCACCACAAATGTGGTTTACACTGGTGCTTCTTTAAAGATGCTGGGTCTTTAGTAGCAGGTTTGTGGCTCATACTTTCTTTTTAACTCCCCTGAAGTAAACTGACTATCCCTTCTCTCTCTAGGCATTTTTTGTCAAAGAATATATCTTAAGTCACCCTGAAGATGGAGAGAAAATTGCACGGTTAAGAGAGCTGATGCTTGAGCAGGTAAGGTGGGGGCAGAAGCCAATCACCTTCTATCGTTCCTGCCTAGCTATGCATGGTTACCCAGAGACCATCTACTTGGCTTTCTACATCTGTGTTCTAAGAAAAGCCATCAGTCAGGGGTTAGGGATTCATCTGTAATGTATTCCAGCTTGCTAATTTTTATTTTTACTTTCCACTTTGAATCAGCAATAAGTAAACTGTGAGTAAACTATGAGTAAACTGAGCCCCTTACAACAGACCGCGTCATGTAGTCTCTTGGAACAATGCTTGAAGTTTCTCTCCCTAAAGACTTGCTGTAGGCTTGATGCCAACTTTTCCCTCAAAATTTTGGGCTCGAATCAAGCCAGCTCAAAATAAATGAATAGATAAATGAACAAGTGAAGGAATGAGATTCTTACTTAAATTGTTCCAGTGAGGGGGCAATCAATAGACTTTGCTTTAAAGCAAAGACTAAAGCCTATAGGTAATATGATATGGACAAAACTGGATACAAGCTCATCATTTTTTTCTCCAGAGAAGCATGGTTTATTTATTTAGTTCCAGCAAGTACAAAGAACTAGAGTAATCTCTTGCCTGCTGTGTTCCTGCAGATAGCTCCTGGCCTGAAAAAGGTTTGAAAACCTCTGAAGTAGGAGATGTGAGGTTAAGAGGCTGGGGTTCAATAGGAAATAAAGACATTTTAGATCCATAAAAAATAGAATACATATGATAAAATATGACCAAGGCATCTCTTTCTACTTGATAATACCAAATTAATCAACAAATAAGGCATGCCCTTTGGGGTTAGAAAGTGATGAGACTGCATCTGATTTTCATCCATATTTTATGCTCTGCAGGCTTAACCCACAGAACTTAATACAATTGGGAGAAAGAAGTGGCCATGGACAGGGACCATGGCTGGAAGAGGGTCAGTTATGCAGCTTCTGGAAAAGAGAAAAGAGTTACTTTAAGTTGACCTGCAAGGAAATAGAGAATAAGTTAAGTTCTCGATGTGGCCCTGGGGGCGATATAGATACTAGAAGTGAGCGACTTAGGTTATTCAGTTCTATGGAATGATTGTGGCCTTTGTTGATATTCAAAATCACATATATTTAACCTGCGCACAGTCTCTTGCGAGTGGTTTGCCTCACTAAGACTCTGACTTGGTGTCTGACTGAATTCTTTCCCCAGAATTAAAATCAAAAGGGCCAAGGAGGCTCTCAAGAAAAATAAAATTGGAAACCTTTGTTTCCTCCATATCTTGCCTGGTTATGTTCACAGGGTCTTGTGGCAAGAGCCTTGACACAAGGAACCTTTAGATCTCTGTCATAGGCCAAGCAGTCAAGCGTCTGCCGTGTGACCTTGGGCTGGCCGTGCCATCTTTGCGAGGCTGTGGTAGTAGGGGACTGGGGATTAGGCTAGCGAGGGCACCATCCTCCTCTGGACTTCTGTGAGCTGGTTCAGGTAAACTTCTAGGAGACTCGGAGATGTACTGCCCCAGTGGCTCTTCCAGAAAGGATTTGTTGTCCCAGCTGATGGGAGTGGTGGCCGTCGACAGACACCTTGGGCTCTCAGGTCCTTTAGCTATTGCCTCAGCTGCAGAATGCTCCCCGGCCCAAGACCACCTGGTCTTGGATGGCCCACATCCAAAATACACATACAAAGCTGAGGCCCAGGGCTCCCAGGAGTGACTTCTGTGTGTCTCGGCTTCTTTTCAATCCAGCCCTGCTTTTGCCCCTCCAATCCCTATACAGAGGGTGCTGGACACTCTAACCCACCAGGCTTAGTCCTGTTTGACTTGAGCTTTCAATCTTGAATCTTCATAAAATGTAAAGATAAAAATCACTGTGGTGATGGTGTGAGAGATTTCCTCACAGTCCATGAAATTCATTCTTTTAACCACTTTAGCATGTGGCATTTTTTAAAATGTAAAAGACAGCTAATCCTCAAAGGAATTAAGCACTATTAGTAGTTGAAGAACAAAAGAAACTTGAATGTTTGTGTTCATCTCTTTTGGATCCTCAATGCAGGAAACCTTTTCTTGCTCTTTTTTTTTTTTTTTTTTAAAGAAGGGAGCTTCTCCTTATTGCATTATAATAGTGAATCAGAATAATAGTTTTTAACAAAAACAAAAAGCAAAAAAGCATAGCAACTATTACAGAATTCCTGTTCCTATCTTTAAGATTTTTAAAATTTTATTTATTCATGAGAGACACAGAGAGGGGCAGAGACACAGGCAGAGGGAGAAGCAGGCTCCATGCAGGGAGCTCAACGTGGGACTCGATCCTGGGTCTCCAGGACCACGCCCTGGGCCGAAGGGAGGTGCTAAATCACTGAGCCAGGGTAGCCCTGGTGGCGCAGCGGTTTGGCGCCTCCTGCAGCCTGGGGTGTGATCCTGGAGACCCGGGATCGAGTCCCGCATCGGGCTCCCTGCATGGAGCCTGCTTCTCCCTCTGCCTGTGTCTCTGCCTTTCTCTCTCTGAATAAATAAATAAATCTTAAAAAAAATATTTAAATCACTGAGCCACCTAGGCGTCCCTCCTGTTCCTATCTTACCTCCATGTCCTCCTCAACAAATTTTAGAAACCCAGGGGAGGATAGATGGGCAGAGCAGAATCTGATGGAAGAGAAAGAGAGTATCATGGAAAAGGAGGTGCCATCCAGAAAAGAGATCCCTTGGGGAGAAGCACCTGACCCACTAACAGAGAGCAGCTCCTGCCCAATCCTGGAAAGTGCAGAAGGGGACCAACGCCACGTAACTGCTTACAAGGGTTGTTATCACAGATCTAAAATACATGGGAAGGAAGCTTAGGGCAGTAGGAAAATCAGACCTTAGTTGGAATCCCCATTCGTCTTTTAGTACCTGCGGGATCTTTCTGACCCTCTGTGTCCTCATCTGTAAATGAAGGACCACTCCATACTTGTGGGATTGAGAGGATTAGCGAGGACACGTGCCAAACGCGTGGTACACTGCTTGACCCCCTTGCAGGCACTTGGAGTTACTCACTGATGTGGGTTTTTTTTCCTTGTCTTATTATCCAGGCACAGATTTTGGAGTTTGGTCTGGCCGTGCACGAGAAGTTTGTGCCTCAAGATATGAGACCCCTCCACAAAAAGCTGGTCGACCAGTTCTTTGTGATGAAGTCAAGTTTAGGGATACAGGTACGTCCACCAAGCGTCCGTAGGAGGCAGTCTGCCCGCTGCCCGCTGCCCGCTGCTGGTTGCTCTTTGTTAGAGGGACCATGAAGCATCCAATAGTGACATCTTTTGGTTTTCCTACCAAACTGCACCATTCCACAAGGGAGTCCTCCAGTATGGAAGTTGCATCATCTTCTATCTGCCCCCTTCAACTTTTATGAAAACAGAAAAGGGTGAGAAAACTCACAGATGCCGAAACTCACCTTTGTAACCCGACGTAAAGACTGCAACAGCCGTAGGCTCAAATACCTCACGACTTGTTTTGCCCACAGAACATTTCCTTTTCTCCCTCTCCAGGAGTTCTCCGCCTGCATACAAGCCAGCCCAGTCCATTTTCCCAATGGAAGCCCCCGCGTGTGTAGAAACTCTGCACCTGCTTCTCTGAGCCCAGATGGCCCCAGGGTAATTCCCAGACGCAGGTAAGTCATATTCTGAATTATCTGACAATTTGGCAGCCCCACAAGATGATCTCGGCTGATTCTCTCATTCTTTATGGCACAATTTGTCAAACACGCGATTTCTTAATGAAATAATTAACCCGCGAGGCAGCTGCAGACATCTGCCACTGGTAAAACAGAACAGCTGAGAAACAAACAGATTCCAACTCTGGATTATGTTGAGGCAAACGGGAGACAACAAAAGGGGATGTGTGTGTGTGTGTATATATTTTCCCCCTCCGGTTCTCTACCGCACCAGCATGGGATAGAGTGCAATTCAGAGACTGAGTGAATGACCTTTCCTTTTCCCCCCCAAAACAGCCCATTAAGTTACCCAGCTGTGAACCGATACTCCTCTTCCTCACTGTCCTCACAAGCGTCTGCTGAAGTAAGCAATATTACAGGGCAATCAGAAAGCTCTGATGAAGTCTTTAACATGCAGGTACTTGACTGGCTTCTTAATCGTCTGCTCGTGTGTATTCCTTTTCTGTCTCCATCCTGAGAGTTTCTGTTCACTCTGCCGTGCTAATGAGCAGATCTGCGGGCAAGAGCTAAGTTAAGGACTCACCTTTAAGTGCTCTCACGGCCTTGTGGGTCCCCGCAGAGTCTCCAGAGACGTGTCTCCCCACACCGCCCTATCCACCCCAAGGAGACGTGAGCGAGAGTGGGAAAAGCCTGGGCCAGCCGTGCAGGGTTAGCTGTGAAACCCACCTGGGACTGGCTCCTTGGGTTCAGGACGCGTGGAGCCTGTCACCACCCACTAGCCACCTCGTAGCATTGCTAAGTGGCCTTTTTGCTTCACGGTACGAGGTGGAGAGGTCGTTCTAAGATTCCTCTACCTACTTACGAGTCAGAAATTTTCCCTGATCAAAAGATTTTGATTGAAGGGGAAAAAAAGTAGTTTTTAAGGACAGGAGTCCATGTAACTCCTGCAACATAAAATTTTGCTTAGACACCGCTGCTACAGCATTTATATTAATTTAGTAAGAATAAGCTGAAACTTCCCTCACCACTACCCTTAGAAAAGGGGGCATAATACATGTTGCCAAACTCATGCCTTGAGCACATTTTTGGAGAAAACGAGCAGGTGCGTGTTCCACCTTTGAGAAGCATCGGCTGTTTCGGGGCCCTAGGCCGGGGCCCTCCCGAGTGTACTGTAGTCAGGGAGGGCACTGCTCCCCGGGCCTAAGTCCCAGGACGTCCACGAAACTAACACGAGTGCGATCCTTTGGCAGGAGTCAAAAATCTCAGAGTGTTGTTTTTTTTTGTCCCCCCAGAGTATTTTGTTTGTTTTTTAAATCTCGGATTCTTGATTAATCCAGACAGTCTTCCTTATCTGTCTGAGGTGTTTTTTTTTTTTTTAAAGATTTTATTTATTTATTTATTCATGAGAGAGAGAGAGAGGCAGAGACACAGGCAGAAGGAGAAGCAGGCTCCATGCAGGGAGCCCGATGTGGGACTCGATCCTGGGACCCCAGGTCCATGCCCTGGGTCGAAGGCAGATGCTCAACTGCTGAGCCACCCAGGGGGTCCCTGAGATTTTTCTAGATTTCTAAGTGGCCTTTTTCTTTTTGTTTTTGTTTTGTTCTGTTCTGTTTGGTTTTTTGGCCTCTTTGAAAGAAAAGAGCAGCGATGCTGTTTTCAATATGTCAGTGTTGTCTGGGGCCTCTAAGCAGTGGGTGATAACAGCTCCCGTGTATTTGCAGCCAAGTCCATCTACCTCAAGCTTGAGTTCGACTCACTCCGCTTCGCCTAACGTGACAAGCTCTGCCCCATCGAGTGCCAGAGGTCAGTGCCGGGCTGTGGGGTTGACCCGGGGCGCCCCCCGGAGCTGTGGCTTCAGGTTCCTCATCCCTGGCCAGCTGCCACAGCACACAAGCCCTCCAGGCAGGTCCAGCACCACCCCCTGATGACCCTTCCTTTCCTTCTCTTCTCAGCTTCCCCTTTGTTGTCTGACAAACACAAACATTCCAGAGAAAACTCTTGCCTGTCCCCGCGAGAGAGGCCATGCAGTGCCATCTATCCGACACCTGTGGAACCTTCTCAGGTAGTCCTTATGGGATGGAGATACTAGGAAACAAGCCAGTGTCTGGAATGGCTTACATACCTCTGCAGAGAAGCCCTGTGCCTGCCAGAGGCAACCAGATGGGCTGTTAGACGACAAGGCAAGCTGAGTGACGAGCCAACCTCTCTGTCCCATGCCTGTTGTTCGCAATTTCTGTTGGAGCCATGTTTCCGATACAGATACACGGGTGGTTGCCTGAGCAGTAAAGCTGAGCGGAAAATGGGAAGTGATTTTGCCCTCCTTGACCTGATGTAACCATCACAAGGGGTAACTAGGTGGATGCGTTGGAGTGTCTGGGTGTGTTTGCATGCGTGTGTAGCAAAAATTTCGAGCGACTCTCGATGTTAGCAAAAGACCCTTGAGCAGAAACAGGACTTGTCCAGCAGCCTCTCCTCTTGGCCTCCCCCTAGTCCGAAAGAGCCTCAGTTGGTTCCTTTCTGGGGTACCCAGGAGAGCAAGGACAATCCTGGTCACCCCTGCCGTTCTTCAGTGCACCGAGGGAAGAGCGGTTGGGTGCTTGGACTTTCCCTGCACCCCCCCCCCCCAAGAGCAAAGGAGCGTGGCCCTCAGCTCCTGCTCCCACTTGATTTTGACGTGGCCTCTCTCACGCCAGGTGAGAACAGGGCTTTGCCCCCCTGCCCACTTCGAGGGCTCTGAAGGGGGGTCTCAGAGGCAAAGATTCTTGGGCAGCCCCGAGGTTTACCGATGATCTGGGAATAACTTAGGAGCGGACAACAATACTTATGTATGTTCCGGCTAATTGTTCTGTTTTTCTACACCATCCTGGCAGAAGTCGGTAGCTGCATCTGGAAATGGATGAGAGCGAGTGGGATGTGGCTTGATTGGTTTATCTTTGCTGATTGTGTAATCTTCCCGAAAGCCCCAGGATACCTCCTCTGCACAGCACTGATGTCTCGCAGAAACTCTCTCTGAGTGCGTTTGGCCGAACCAGCTCACCAGTTTTCCTTCCCTTTGTCACTTGCTGTTGCAAGCGAATCTCACCCTTTGTTCCCGTCTGCTCCAGGAGCGCGGTGCCAGCGCGGGGGACCCTGAAAACCTTCCTTGATTAGCCTCCGCCTTGTCCGCTTTTGGTAAAATGTGAAGCAGTGTGTAGTTGCCAAAACCTCAGTAATACACATTGCTATGGTGCCTCTACTTTTAAGGACTTGCACTTTTCCCTCTAATGTGTCAGGGAGAAGCACGTAAAATCGGCATTTTTGTGGGTTAAAAATTGTAGCATATTATCCATTTCATGTTTTTAACCTAGGATCGAAAACGTGCCCATCCACTAGAGATTTCTTGAGCTAATATTTCTCAATTTTTATCTACGTTCCCTGTGGCCAGTCTCGCATTCCTGTTTAGAAAGGGCACCATAGCTTAACTGCTACTCACCAGTTTTCCGTCCATCTTATTATGAAAACCTATTTACCATTTACACCTAAAGTCTAATACAAGCTTCTTAAACTTGAGACTCTTCTCCCCCTTTTTTCCCTTAAATATGATTGAATTCTTGGTTGCTAGGCTCATCATGTGCCATATAAAAATTATTCTGAACAAAAAGTTTCAGTAACGAGACAGTCATCTCATTCTCTAGAAGGTCTCACTGTGACAGCATGTCGCATCATGAAAATAGACTCTTGTACTTTCCAGAGGCTGCTGTTTAATCATATTGCAGAAGGAGCCTTGCCACGCAGCGACCCAAATCTTTCCGCACCTGAGAAAGGTGGGTATAAAGCCAGCCCCTCCATCGGCCCCGAGAGGTGTGCGGCTTTGTTTTGTCTTCATTCTCTCCAGTCTACCGTGTGTCTGTGTGGAGGGCAGATCTCCAGTCTGTAATGATCGGGACTCATTTGCCCTTTTGGGGATTCGTGAAAGGCGGTCACTCGTGATACAGTCTTTCCAAACTGTTTTCTTGTAGGGTGTAACAGCAGAATCTAGGCAAATTAGGAACTCCTCCGCGAGCTGGCTTTTGGTGTCGGGTCACCAAGGCGATTCCTGTGGTCCCCGCAGCAAAGCTGCCACTGAGGCTCCTTGTTCAGCGCAGTGAAAATAGCACCTGCCCAGGTCGATTCTCTGGTCCCACCCTTTGTTTCCCTTACGAAGCTCATTCTGCTAGTGCATCTGTTGTTTGTGGTGACTCAGATACTATTTAAGAATTGCAATCCAGTGCATAATGGAGTGTGCCCTGCCTCAAGGTCGCACAAAACATGACAAACACGTGCATGGCCCTTAATAGCCAATTAGCAGCGGTCTGTGCAACACAGAAGTTGGAGAGCGGACTCGGCGCGACTAGCTCCACGGTGCAGGCGGGGGCTCGCAGCGGGTCCCCCATTCGCCTCCCTCAGGGTCAGGCCTCAAAAAGCCCAGCCAGTGTCGGAAGCCAACGAATCGAGTCACTAATGAAACGTTCCCGTATAGTGCACTTTAATTGTCCTCGTTAAGAGCTAAACTGTATTGTCATTTGAGTCCACAGAGAGGTTAACATTAAAACTTTTCCTTGGGAGACTGAAGTGTCAGTGAGCCGGTGGCCAAAATGACTTTAAGACACAAATTTTGCTTTCATGTTGACAAGTCAAATATGAATCTTTGCCTGGAGAACTTGGTATTTTTCTCAGCCCTTCTACCTACGAAAACCGCAAAGGCGATTTAAAACGACTGAGAAAATTATTTTAAGACCGGTGATTCCACTATCCATTAAATCCATGTGGTAATTTAGAGTAAAATGCTGAAATCCTAGCCGTGTCCATCAGATGGCAGTGTCTGTACAGGGAGCAAGCCACTGGAAATCTTAAGACTTGCTTTTTTGTAAACTTGATTTCCTAGCAGCTATTTATAATCTGGTGTGTCTTGCCCTTGCTCCTAACAGGGTTGTTCCATATTTCTGCATCTTACTGAAGCGTGGAACAGACAAATTACAAAAAAAGAAATGATACTGTCACTATCCCAAATCATTTTTCTTAGGACATACATCAGTGTAATCCATTGATTTCAGGAACGAGGGTCCTTTTCCCAAAGAGTTCGTCAACAGGGTGGTGTGGCGGGGTAATCCTGCCAGGTAGTTGAAATATTAGCCTGTTACTGCCTTGCCCCTTGTTGGGCACCAGTTGTCCAGCAGTTTCCACTAAAAACCAAGTTTTAAAATACTTTAGTGACTCCATCCTCCATCTGTTATCCAGCATTTGTGATTCTCAGCAAGATCCTGCGGACTGGTGTCAAGAGTGGTAGTTCTGTTTGACTGCTTGAGGGGAAATAAACAGACATGACATCGTCCGATTAAATGTCAATTATAACTGTGAGGTAGAAAATTAAATAAAGATTTAGTATTTAAGAGGTTTCCTGGGTTGTTTTTGTTTTTGCTTTTTTTTTTTTTTTTAATCCAGTTGGTTTTTTTTCATTCTGGATAATTTTGACTCTCTTCTAAGATCTCAGGTGTTCAAAAGGCAAAGTGGACCGTGTGTTTTTAGCTGTGTTATTCCCTTCCAGCTGTGAATCCCACCCCTAGCAGCTGGAGCCTGGACAGTGGGAAAGAAGCCAAGAACATGTCGGATAGTGGGAAAATTCTCTCTCCCCCTGTCCCTCCAAGACCCACACAAACTGGTGGGTATTTGAAGCATTTGAACAATCACTTTTATAAAATAACTTTTATGACTACTCCAGCTTGTTGTGTATTCCTCAGAGAAAGGTAGGCATTTGGTTCTGAGGTAAAAACCTTAGTCTCCCAATCCACTTAAAATGTTTTCCCTCTTCCCTGAACTTCTAACTACACTAAGTCACACAGTGCTCCGTTCCTTACAAACCCCATAGACCGATTTTGTAGAATGTTCTGCTGCTAGGCCTCATCCTCAGAATTTGAGGAGGTCCCCTAACCTCACCAAGCCATTAGTATTTTTCTGGATCCTTTGCTTGAACTGCCTCATTCTTATCAACTTCTGCTAACTCAGCCATTTCACTCTTACTCAGGACTGATGCCAGGGTTTCACACTGCCCCAACATAGGAACTGACTCACTCTAACTCTGATAGGCTTGTGGGGAGCATCCAACCTCCCATCCATTGATGTCCTTTGCATAGAGGGGTCTGTATTCAAGAGTGAGTGAAATTTCGCAGGGTGCCTGGGTGGCTCAGTTAAGCGTCTGACTCTTCATTTCAGCTCAGATCATGATCTCAGGGTCATGGGATTGAGCCCCCATCACATAGGGCTCAGCATGGAGTCGGCTTGAGATTCTTTCCCTCTCCCTATGCTCCTCCCCCACCCCCTGCTCACATACTCGCATGCTCGCTCGCTCTCTTTCTAAACTAAAATCTTTTTTTTTTTTTTTAAAGTGAGATTTCTCGGGTTGATTCAGGGTACTTCATCCCGTCAGGTGGTGGTTTAAGAAGCAAATTCTTAGGCCTAATCTCAGACCTACTGAATCAGAAGTTCACCATTTCTGGGGTAAGGCCGTAGAATCAGTATTTTACCAAACCTTTCTAGATTTCGGGGACCAGTGAAAATTCTGAAGAAACTTTCTTGATGAGCTTATGGCAATAATAGGGCTTTCCAACCAAATAAGCCATTTGCTTGGTGACCTTGGTAACCTTGATATGGTACAGTCTTTAACCTACTCTGCTGACCCTGCCTATCCTGATGATGAGGAGAGTCTTTTCCACATTTGCACACATCTAGAGTAGTTTTGAAGCTTTACAAATACAACTGGCCTAAAGCAAGAGGAAATAGGACATGTCCTTCACAGATGTTCCTGGGTTGATCGTTCATACTTCATTCGCTATATTTTAGCATCTCATCTTTTTCTTTTTTTACTGACTTTCTCTGTCTTTTTAAAACAAACCATGTGCTATCCAGTGTGTTCGGTACTTGCCAAAGCTAAAAGTCACCAGTAGGTTTTGAAGAGCACATGAGGTTTTTCAACAGAACAAGAAATAACTAGGCTTACTCGATAATCCACACTAGAATGCCACCGTGACCCAAGATGGTGAATAAGATTCGTCACCCGAGATGGTTAATAAGATTCATCAACCAAGTAATTTGTATCTATTCACGCTGTACATATGTTCAAGGAGTCTGCAGTTTAAACTGGTCGTATCACTAATGTTGGAAACTCAAAAAGCATTTTCAGAGGAACAATGTTATTGATGGTAGTTAAGATCCTAGGCCCATTCAGACTTAGAGGCCAGAATAATGATGGGACCATTAGGTGTCTGGGGGAGAATGCCTTTCTAGAGAAACATCACTGTGGACATGCTGTGGCTACAAGGGCCCACCGCGGTGGGGTCGCAGAATGCCAGAGTCAGGAGGAGGAGGACCTTGACTTCGCCACACATAGCCATGGCAGGACTGTGGTTCCCAGTCAGGATCTGTTTCTCTACCCATACGGGATTTTCTTCTGTAAGCAACACCCCCAACTGGCAGGCTAGAGCTGACCCTGGTGTCTGAGCATGGCATGTGCTGATGGCATGCCCTCGAGCACAAGGCAGAGGCTGCATACCCCCCCAGAGCAGTCAAGGGCCCCTCTCCCTGGGCTCTAGCACTGGGAGCACGCAGGTGACCCTACATCTCCCAGTTTAACCCGGCAGGGCTGCCCTCCCTTCTGCACTGATTGCTCTCCTGGTGTGTCCTCATGTCCTCATTCGTGATCACTGTTGGGAGGTCTGTCTGTCTGTGTTTCCTTCAGCTTCGCTCTAGTTTTCCTAAGAGTCGCAAACCTCACTTGGGCTGCAGGGAGCATGGCAGCTCGTGCTAGAGCAGCAAAGCCTGAATTCACTGAAACCTGTGCAGGTGGAATTGGGAAATGGGGCTCACACGGGCTGCGTGGACTGTGTCGCGGCAGCTTTCCACGCACGTGCTTATGTTTCAGGGGGCAGGGCCTGACCTACCAGCGCGTAGAGCAGGGCCGTCGCCTGCTGCATCCCAGGTGCAGGGCTTGAAAACCTAGAGGGAAAAACAGAAAGAGAGCATTTCTTTGCCATGATGATGAAATCTACTGAGTGCTGCTGCTGCCACCACCACCGCCACCGCCACCCCAACCCCACGGCCGGGACAGAGGGAAGACCTGAGTATAAGCTTGCAGGGGAGAAATGGAAAACTTCTTGCTTCCTGTTTGGGCCTGGCCAAGGGTTTTTTATTCCAGGAGGATTAGGTTGTGAAAGGGGAGGCAGGTGTAGATTTATTCTCACAGACCCCTGCTAGTCTGCCTCAGTGGTGTGGGTTTCCCCATTACTGCTCAGACCAGTCAGCAGCTCTTTTCCAAAGACTGCTCCCTGGCACCTCACACATGAAAGCACCTTTTGAAATGGGTCAGGCAATGGAAAAGCACCGGGACTTCTGGGAAATGGGACATTGGCCCAGTTGGAGCCCCTGTCACTGCTTATAGCATCACGTATGTGCTGGTGACTTTTTGCTAATTGGCCCATGTCTTGGAGCTGCCATCCTTAGTGAGGAATCTGCTTTGGATGGGCGTCATTTAGTTTCTCCCCTACCTCTCCTTGCCTAGGAGGGCTTTAGGCCCTGGACCATCTGTATGGGTTTGTACACAAGGGCATTTGCAGAGAATCAACCTCCTGGGTTTTCTCAATTGAAAGGACTTCTCTCTCTCTCTCTCTCTCTGTTCACAGCTTCACCAGCAAGACATACAACGTCCGTGTCCCCCTCACCTGCTGGGAGGTCTCCGTTGAAGGTATAGTCTCATATTTAGACTGAGGCCAGACACTGGCCCCACCTTTCTTCTTTCCTTAAGACTCATCCCTGGCACACCACTGAGCTGCTTTCATAGGCACAGACTAGGGAAGGGACGGAGGAAGATTGGTAAGAAGACACGAGGCTTTCCTTTCAGGAGGCCGCCTCCACAAATGGAGTCATTTGTGTTCAGGTTATTAGCCTCATTCCCTTCCCCAAATGGTGGCAACGAGAATATACAGGCTAGAGTCTGTGTATACCCTAAATTAGGAAACAAATATTTACAAGGAAATACACTGTATTTCCTAGGATGTTTCAGTCTGGTCTTACTGGCTTCAGGGACATAAAAGAAAAAAAAAAGAAAGGAAGGAAGGTAGGTAGGAAGGTAGAAAAGAAAGAAAGGAATTGAAAAACTCAGTAATCAAGCCTAGTAAATGGTCTCCTGTTTCTTTTTTCTTTTTCTTTTTTTTTTTTTTTTTTTTTTTTGTCTCCTGTTTCTTTTTGCTTCTGTCAGCCTCACCCATTGTGGCAAAGTCAAAACCAACTTTTCTCCTTTAATATTTCATACCAAGGTTTTCATTTACATTAGAGTTATATACTTGACAGTGAAAAACAAGATAGTAAAATGAATAAAAAATTTCTAGGAAACAAACTGAAGAGATTTAAAGGTGAGATGTTTAAATTGATATATAAATGTAGGCTATTTAACATCTCTAAACATACAAAATCCCTCATGAAGGTAAAGAATAATATTTAGTCTCTATCCAAATCGAATCAGACTGGCTGCAAGGATTGTCAATACCAATAGACATTGGTGTTCAGAGCTGCTGCACCAGAGGCAAATATGAAGTTGAAGTGAGTGTTAAAAGAATGATTTTGGATCTGAGTGACTGAGGATGTACATGCTCTGTGTCCTTTTTATTAGGGAGGTATTTCTAGCTAATGTGAAAGAAAAAGGCAAATTAGCTTCTAAAAACACATAGGGGCAGGTCGTGATCCAGTGCATCTGTGTTGCTAAGGATAGTTGCTGATAGAAACTGAGAATCTGGAAAACAAAAGCCCCCAAATGGAGAAAATTGCAAAGAAGTGTGATTTCATTTGCATTGCCAACATTTCTGATGTAGAAATTTGCTGGAGAGAGCAAATTATTTGCTGGGTTTTTTTGTCATTCTGCAATGCAGCTGTTAATCATAAAGTGCACGTGACTGCCTTCACTCTGGAAGCCACGGACCATCACGTTGATGTGATGGGAGAGGAAGCATCATGATGCTTCCACATCTTACATTTAGCCTTACCCGCGAGGAACTCCCACGTATTGCTATGCAATTAACATCTGCATTTTCCAACTTGATTTTGCAGAGTAGTGATAAGACGGTAAGTCTTAGAGATTGATTCTGTAAAAAAGAACTGAAGGATGAAAATACTCAAATGGTGACCCAACAGTCCTGTTTATTAGCAAGGTAGCATCTACTTTCTCTCCGCAGAGCTGCTGCTGGTCTCCCTAGCCAGGTGTAGCTCACGGCCATAGCTTTACAAATGGGGTTTGGAGAGAAAATGAATGGAGTGTTTCTGTTGTGACTCCTGCGTTACGTTAGAGGGCACACTGCTACCAGGTTACGAGTTTCGCTATGCCTAGAATGCAGTTGGTTGCCTTGACTTAGTTTTTTCAGCAATTAAATGATGGAGTCCATCCTGGTGGGGGGGTGGGGGGTGGAGACTGAGCTTACCTGCCTTATTTTAAGCTTGCCGTCTGTCAACAGTGACCAGCATTGAATTTGGATCTCTTCATTGGCAACACTTAATTTTAAGCTCCTGCTAAATGACTTTGTGTCTCCCAGCATTATTTTGTTTAAAAAGAGAGACCAAGGTGCAGTTGGCTTAGAACATTAGTTTTTGTTTTTGTTTTTTTTAATTTTTTTAATTTATTTATTTATGATAGTCACACAGAGAGAGAGAGAAAGAGAGAGGCAGAGACACAGGCAGAGGGAGAAGCAGGCTCCATGCACTGGGAGCCCGATGTGGGATTCAATCCCGGGTCTCCAGGATCGCGCCCTGGGCCAAAGGCAGGCGCCAAACCGCTGCACCACCCAGGGATCCCAGAACATTAGTTTTTGATAAAGTTTATGACGTACCACTATGTGATAAACAAAAAAACTGGTCTGTGGTCAGATACGTTTAGACAACCCTGGGCTGCAAAGTCCTTTCATTTTCTTTATTGTAAGACTTTAACGTGCTCCTACACTTTGAATGCAGTCAAGGAGGACTTGAGTACTACACATTTCCCCGGTAGAACCGTCCTTTCACAGAGCATCACCTAGGCCCCCATTTCCATAGGATACCAGTTAGGGAAGTAGCAGATTCAGATGCCAGCAGGGTGGACAGCTACCACAAATGAGCCAAGGAAGCTTGTAGAACCCCACGTGAAGACTATGGTATCCTGAAGAATTCATGCCCCATCACCAAGGAAAAGCTCCAGCTCGGTTTCAAAAGATTATCTCCATTACGAGAAAGCAAGCCATTGTTGCTAAAACTAATAGTTATTATCCAATGCCAAAAATCTGAGGTTTAGGAGAAATCTTCCTCTTTAAAAATAAATAAACTGAGTCAGGTCTTGAGAAACCACTCTGGATGAAACAAGTCCTATTTCAGAGCAGAGCCTGAGAGCTGCCGATGTGCAGCTGCTTCAGCTCGGGGGTCTAGGGAGCGAGAGACCTGGAAGGCAGGCCTCTGGTGCCTCTGCCACCTAGCCCCCCTGCCCTGCTCCAGGCTCCAGCCCCCCTCCCTTGCTGAGCCAGGAAGGGGAGAATGGCACTGCCAGCACTCTCTGGTGTTGGCCGGTTCCATGTCCTTCGAGTCCTGGGACTAATTCTATATCTCTGAGTTCTCCATCTGCTTACTTTTAGCCTCTTTCTGTCCGGAGGATGGGGAGGAGGAAAGTGGGCAGGGAGGTGGACAATGCGCGGCAAGTGCTTCGTGCTGGGGCTGCCGCGGTCTCACCCGAGTGTGGGTGTTGGCAGCAGGCCGCCCTAGCCAGGCCCACGAACAGCAGAGCCGCATCTCCTCCAGGCCCCGGAGGCTACGGGGGCCAAAGTCAGGGTGGCCGCCCCCTGGTTTGGCGCGGGGGGGCCCCTCCTTGGCCTGCAGACAGCCGCCTCCTCAGCGCACCTGCCGCGCTTCTGCACCCACATTCCTTCCTCCGAGGACCCCATCAGAGGGCGCGAGGGCCGCCCTCAAGGCCGCTCTGGCGCCGTCGGGGCCGGGAGGGGGCTGGGGGGGCCGCTTCCCACCCCGCCCGCCCTCACCACCCCGTCTCCTTCCCCGCAGCAGGGCCCCGGGCAGGGGTTCACGCCCTCCCCGGTGGAGTACCAGTCCCCGGGCCTGACCTCCCACTCCCCGGTGCTGTCGGGCAGCTACAGCAGCGGCATCTCCTCCCTGAGCCGGTGCAGCACGTCGGAGACCTCGGCCTTCGAGAGCCAGGCGCCCGAGGGGCCGGCGCAGGCGGCGGGGCCGGGCCCGGAGGAGCCGGGCCGCCGGGAGAGCCGGACGCCGCCGCCCTACAGCGTGTACGAGCGGACCCTGCGGCGGCCCGGGCCGCTGCCGCACAGCCTGTCCATCCCGGTGGCGGTGGCGGTGGCGGCCACGGTCGAGCCGCCCGCGCTGCCCCCCAAGCCGCCGGCGCCGCGGCCCGGGCCCCCCGAGAACGGGCCGCGCAGGACCGAGCCGGGCCCCCGGCCGCGGCCGCTGCCCCGCAAGGTGTCCCAGCTGTGAGCCGCGGAGGGGCGCTGCGGGCGGGCGCCCCGGACCCTCTCCCCTTGCTCCTTCAGCCGGCGGAATTAAAACCTGCTTATTAACACGTTGCACAATATTAAAAAAAAGTCACTGATCTCAAACGCCGGATGGTCGTGGCCTGGGGCTGACTTTCCTTAGGTGTCTCCCCTCTGAAAGTGGTAAAGAGCGTTAAAGGCTTCTTTTGGATCTTTTTATGTTCACCCCCCCACACACACTTTTTATTTCTTTTTATAATCCAGTTGCACGTCCACACCAGTAGGCTGTCGCCGAACCACAGGGCGCGTGCAGTTGTGTCCTTGTGACCTTGCACTTGGTCCCCTGCGAAAGCAAAGGCCGAGCACAGCCTAACGTGGTGGCCCTGCTAATGGGAGGCTTCTCGTGGGCCCATGGGTGCCCACCCCGAGTTCCCAGTTCAGGCAGCCTTCGCTAGGCCATGCACTTATGCGGTTGCAAGGAGGAGGGCTGCAGGTGATTTTGTTCTTGAAACAAAAACTAATTCTTGGAGGTTGCTTTTGACATTCGACCCCTTGTCTGCTTTCTTAAGCCTCTGCTCTGTGAATTGCTTGGTGGATCCCTTAGTGCCCCGACACCAGGGCATCTACTGTAGTTCTTCTAGAGGTACAGTTGACTGTCGGAGTCGCAGTCGGCTCGATTAAGCAGAGGAGCCCGGGAGAAATGTTTACTTGAATCTTGTGCTTCCGTACTTGATAGTTTCCTCCGCAGCCTTTGTCATTGAAGAAGAGCAGATGTTCATGTGTTAAATAGGCACAAATTAATGTGTCCCATTAACGAGAATTCAGGAATCGATACAGGACAGTATTAAATCAATAGCGTAAATGAAGAAAAAAACCTTGGAGAAAATAGATTAGCATGATTAAATGGCAAAAGGACTTTCAGAAGGCAAGGGCATTAACTTTCAGTCCTGCACCGAGTGGAAAAGTCTTCACAACTCCCCAGGCTCCTAGCGGAGCTTGCCTTCGTAGCGGATCCCGCTTCTTGTTGAAGGGGGAGATGGCCGCAGACCCCTCTGGCTTGGGTATTGCTGCACAGCGTCTCAGAGCTGGGTAGGGATGCTAAGGCCCCAGTTGCAGGAGTGTGAAAAAAGCACCTTGTATGTAGTAATGGATTTTGTATCTATGTCTTTTTCTTTTACTGACTGTTTATAACACTCAATTGACGATAAATATGACTGTATTTTAAATCATACTGTTAAATATTTTCCCTCTTTTGTTGGGAAGCTCATTTTAGTTTAACCGTGTTTGTTTTTGTTGATAGCTTACCTGGAAGGCAGTGACCACTTTTTTATATTCTCTTAATGAAACCATTCAGCAGGTATATGCTGTTGAGGCTGGTTATAGAGGTTTTCTATAATAAATGTTCAAGTATTTTTGTACATAACTGGTTAATTTTAATAAGAGATACCATTATGTGTAAAAAAAAAAGTAAAAATAAAAGCAAACAGTTGTGGATGCAGTATGATTGTTATAATTATGCCAAATACTTTATGTATGGAAAAGAATATTTGTACATATGTGCTTTTAACAATAATTCTGCCATTATTGACTTTACAATTTTGAATGTCAGAAAGATTAATATATGTTAAAATATTTATGTTTAGTGAAAGTATTCATAATGGAGAAAAGGAACATACGAATTTTAGCTTTGTATCTTGCAAGTTTTGCAGTCGGAAATTTCTGGAACTAGCTTTTGCTTTTGATGATAACACTTTGTGTTTGTAATCACATTCTTAAAACTATCTACACACACACACATACATAGGAAGCTCCATATTCCTGTTGCTTTAAGCAGTAAAGCCTTCCATTTAAATAAGTTGACATGCATAAGGTAACAAAGCTTCTTTGACTTCCTTTTCCTTTGTAATTTAATAGATCGTTGACTAGTGCTTGGGCACTGTATAAATCAGTGTTATCTGCTCTTGAAGCCATTTTTTAAAGAAGTTTTTTGGCAATGAACAGTTCAATTTATCACGTGCGTGTATTTCTGAAGCAGCTATATAGCAGAACATTTCAAAAGACTCTTAGCTCAGATGTTCCTGTTGGTTGCTGCTGAATGGTAAATATTTAATAAAATTACCTGATTAATCTTAATATAACTGTCTTTATTCCTGTTATCAGTGTGTCTTCGCCCAAAACAAAAGCCGTGTGTATCTCTTGGTCATATCGTAGTGAAATTATCAGACTCCTTTGTTGATAGATCCTGTTTTGTTGTTGTCTTGCCTTGGTTGATGTACTTCTTCCGCCTACAAAGCTTATTTATGCTTTAGAGGAAAAGAAAGTTGAAAAAGTAATGGTATTGGTCACTACCAGTAGAGAAGCAAGATTCACCTGGGCGGGAGACTGCTAATTAACCTAACCAGAGCCATTTTCAAAAGTCAAGGCATGGGGGTGCCAACTCTTGGTTTCAGCTCAGGTCATCAGCTCAGCGTTCTGAGATCTAGCTCCCTGCCGGGCTCCGTGCTGCGTGGGCGTGGAGCCTGCTTGGGATTCTCTCTCCTTCCTCCGCCCCTTCTCACTCACCCCCACACACACTCCCTGCCCCGTTGCTGCTGCTGTGCTCACTCTGTCTCTCAAAAAGAAAGCTAAAACCATCCAGGTTTGTTTACATTGGAAAACTTGACACAAGACAGGTAACTGCCAACCATGCAAAGGAATAGCTGCTGGTGCCAGCTGTGACAAATTCTATCCACGGGCCAGCTTTTCTTCCTGATTTTCATAAAAAGATGGAAAACCTATTTGACAAACACTGCAAAACCCATCGACTATAAGATTTCTGTTAATAGAACCTGGTGTTTAATGTTGTGAGATGCATCTATTCTGTGTTAGGTTTACAACATTTATGTGACTCAGTGCTAAGCAAGCCATTGTCTAAAGCCTCCATCCCATTAAATACCAAAACCCATTTAAAGGCCATAGTCATGTCCTCCTGATTGTTTCTCAACATTAACTAAGTGATTTTAGAGCATTTTTGGATCATTTTCATTACAACAGAGCCCGTAAGTATTTCGATTCTACAAGCATAATTACAATATGAATAGCTCTGCTTCCTACCTAAGTAGTCTTCTCTCTGGATGGTTATTGATTGTTCCACAAAACACAACAAAGAGAATAACAAGTTGCACAGCTTTGCCTTTATTTGATCTTTACATATTAAAACGTGGCTGTACCAAATGAATTCTTAGTTATTGATTGAAATAAGCCTTGCCCCCATTACATAAGAATACTATAAAAAAAGCCTTGAAAAATTGACCAAATTCCAATCCCCTACTATTATTTTTACACATTCCTTTAATTTTTTCTACATATATTTATTGCATAGTTTTTCTACATTGTTGAGTGTGGTTCCCCAAGAATTGCCAACATAACCAGTTAATATAGGGCCGACTCATTGCCATTGGGGTGAGCACCACACCTCAGTCGAGCTTTCTTTGGGTCTCAGGGAGGGAAGGGCAAGATCAGATTTTGCTGGAATTTTGGAGTTTTGTTTAAGGTGGGACTTTCAGTGAGCAGGCATTGTTGAAGATTGGGTAAACATCATGATAGGATTGTTCAGGTTTGATGGAAATAAGCTGAGAATTTGGGGTTTAGGGGTTCAGAAAGTGCTAGGATAGGAACTGTCAGTTGATGCTTTCTGTTGCTGATTTGATAGGATCGGTTGAAAAGTTCCTGTTATGAACAATAAAGTTATTTGCCTCACCAAGAGAGTCCTCGTAAACTTGATGCTAATGAACATTGGAATATGGAGTCATAGTCATGTAGACTACAGCTGTATGAGATAGTTTCAGTTTTCAATGTATACATTTTATATAGTCCCAATAAACCTAGACAAATTACTTTATAGTATTTGCATATAACATAAGTAAAGGCAAAGTAATATATTCCATAATTCATTGAGCCATTCCCTTAATTGACGTTATATTGTTTCCAACCTCCGGCTCCTACAAACACCACCACTTTGACTCTTCTTACATACAGCTTTGTCCAGGTTTTGGATTGTTATTTCCTTACAAAGTATTCCTACACTGAAATTGCAGAGGCAGAGGAATGAGGATTTTTATAGTTCTTTTGCGTATTGGCAAATTTGTTCCCAAAAGTGTTGTACCAATTTTAATGCCACCAGCAATATCTTTCCGTGATTGGATATTGATGCAGTATTTTGTACTATGTGGGAAGAAAACATTGCTGCCTTACCCAAAATTTGAGAAAATGTTCTTAAGTCTTTTACAGAATCTTGTGCTAAGGAAATTGATGTCTTCACAAAGGAAATGAAAAGGAGCGATAAGACAGAAAAGAAACAAGCTAATGCTAATATTCACACGGCACCTACTGAAAATACCTCATCCCAGAGAAGAAATTGCTAGGAAGATCCTTACTAGAAAAGCCTTAGCATTCTGAACACAAATACAACCTCACTTATCCAGAGTTTACCCCTGTCATTCACAATCCGTGAAGGAATCAAAAACCTGGAAGTGAGGACGGCGACCTGAACAGCTGTGGTAAATGCCAACTGAGTCAACTATCTCCACGAAGATGAGGCTGATAAAAAGTCTGTTGTGTTTGAATTTAGTTACCAAAGAATAAGTTCTTACTTTGTATGTGGGTGGAGGGGTGGAGGGGTCAGGGGGTGGAGGGGATGGGTTTCTAGCAAGCTATTCAAGTAGAAAAAAAAAAAATGAAGTCAACTCCAGAGAATAAAAAAAAAATTGTATAAAAGTAAATGTAATTATAGTACACTGTGGGGGTCAGCTATATATAATATTTACATAGCCACAGAAAAGTAAAACATATATTGATCTAATCCCAAATTATAATGTAATTAGACTGGAAGGATGAGGGTAAGGAAGGAATTGTATGTGTGGAGAATAAATTCTCATCTTCTATAAAGGGATGTCAATGGTGAAGGAGAGGAAGAAATTTTCTCGAGTCCAAGATTCTGTTCTAACTGGGCTAAGAATTAAAAAATCATTTTCTCTATTATCCAAAAGTTTATTCCCAAAAGTGGTATGAGAGAGTAAAGGTTGTGGTTGCACAAGTGCTAAGAACATATGGTATCACCAGACTTCCACAAATGGGAGACCCGTCCAGGCAGGTTCTACTGGAATGGGACGCGCCAGTCCTAACAAGCAACAAAGGTTGAGATAATAGCTCCTAGCCCACAAAGGACCTTGGTTAACAGATTCCTGAGGGCTGGCGGGGCTGGACAAAGAGTGCTGCTTATTACTACATGTCTCTGATCCCCATTCCATGTGGCCCCCAAGGTGCATCCAGGGAAGTACGCCCTCCAAATGGTCAAGACCACGTGGAGTATCCTCACTGGTCCCAAAGTCAAGCTCTTTGACAAAACAAGACAAAAGGAAAAATCTCATCCAATTTTTCTTAATGTGCACATTAACAGTTTTAGCTCAGCCTTGGATCTCTTGGAAACGCTAATACCTAGAAGGGGTGTGCCACAGGTTGGAGATGGTATGTTTTGTAGTGTATTTCATTGCGCAGAACTTTTTGAGGTTTCCGGGTGACCTGGTGTCAAAATAACCCATTCCGTGACCAACTTATCCTAACACGAGGGCCTCTGGGTTAGGCGGTGAGTGCTCTAACAACTTCTAAGTGCCCCCCCCGCCCCCATGCCCACCAGCTCTGTAGCTTTAGCGTCCAACGTGTCCCATAGCAATAGCCTTGACGTCATATGCACAATAACCCACAACAAAGCTTGTCTAAGTAGACGGTGGCTTGACAATCATTGAGTTCCCCTATCTGGGAAGCCAGTCTGAACAGTCAGTTTATAGGATCCATGCCTGCATTCTGCCCAATGGTGGGTTTCGTTTTGCTTTGTTTTGTAGTGACAAATGGCATAAAAGACAGGCAAGGAGAAACAAAGGCCATCTCTGGGAGGAAATGGATCAGTAACCTCAGAGTACCATATTTTTACCAAGAGTCCTTAAGCCCCAGGAATTAGTTCTGGTACTTAATCTACTAAATTTAGAAGGAACAAAAATCTCACCTCTCTTGCTCCATCTGACCCTATAAGACAGGGATTTGGGGAGGCTGACTTAAGAAGTCTTACCTTCGGGGTGCCTGGCTGGCTCAGTGGTTGAGTGTCTGCCTTCGGTTCAGGGTGGTCCCGGGGTCCTGGGATCGAGTCCCACATCGAGTTCACTGCGGGGAGCCTGCTTCTCCCTCTGCCTGTGTCTCTGCCTCTCTGTGTGTGTCTCTCATGAATATATACATAAAATCTTAAAAAAAGAAAAAAGTCATCTTACCTTCTGCAGGTTTTGTGTGCTATGTCCCACGATCTCAAAGCTACGAAATCATCAGAGCCAATATCCAGTGGAAGTTTATCCTGCTATGTCAAGTGAAAGACAGAAAGAACTTTTCCTTGGTCCGGGGTTCTTCTAGCTGGGCTAAGAATTAAATTTACATGTGATAGATTAACAGGAGAAAATAAACCAAAGTTTTATTACATGGATTTGTGCAAATGAGACCAAAAGAAATGACCATTGCAGGTAGCTTTTACATGTTTTAGACCAAGAGACAATAAATCTGTGAGGAATTGACCTCAGGACCAAGAAAACTTAACTTTGGGAGCTTCAGTTGGTAAGGGATTCTAAACAGAACTTGGACTAGGGGAGTAAATTAATAAAAAGTAACAAGGGTTGTTTATACCACCTTCTTGGCTCTAAATTTGCTATCTTTGGTGATAAGGAGGTCTCTTGACCTTTCACATAGATTTATTTGCAGCTTTCAGGGGGACAGAAGAGGGTCTGACTGTCCTTCTCACACAGACTGTTTATAAATAAGTTTTATTTAAGGTAATCAACAGGCCACAGTAGCATAGTTTAGGCAGCCTGCCCTTGATCCCCGTAATAGAAAATGCTTAAAATTTAAAGACCGTCAAAAGATAGCAACTTAAGATACCTTTTTACTTAGAGATATCAGGGCAAACATTGAGAAATAACTTTTAAAATGGAAATACTGGTCTCTGGGGAATTAAAAATGGCTAGGGACAGAAACACTGTCGGGGACGCCTTTCACAGTGGCTTTATAGAACTATATGCATATATGACTGTGAGACATTTTTAAGAGACTGAAAAAA